CAAGCCTGGGTGTACTACATATGAACGCTCTAGTGCTACGATCACGTGAAGGCTGTGCGAATAATCGCGGGTCACCTACGAGTCGGAACCACCTATAGTGGTCTGTACGACAGGACTGTGCACCTAACTTGGATTCAAGCTGAGCGTGTGGTGCGGGAGGTGAACAACACGTGAAGGACTGTGCCCTACTCTGGGCGGAAGCACTAACACCGGGGGTGCAGGTTATGAGCTCTCTAAGCACCTCTAACCGCTATTTAATACAAATGTTAAATAATGCTTACCTGGCTACTTACCTACGCCTCCACAGCACCAACATATATAATGAAATCATAAATAAATATGTACTTAAGCGTATAAGCCATTAGTCATGCCTAACCATCAATCATATAAAAAGAATGGCATAAAACAAAGCAATTATACTAATTTCTGGGAATTTATACGCATATAGGTATATACGGAAAACAAAAGCCCACTCACTGATATGTAGAAGGGTCGTAGCCCCCCTGCCTCGAATGTGCACGCTCGTCCTCAGGATACGTGTCACCTATATGCGAATTAACTATAAAAACGTTAACTTTAAAGCACATAACCGTCCGTTCAAAATAACTTCTCATACATTGCTCAAAATGGACAAATGAATATACCAACGTGATCTACACAACCTCACGATCACAACCATATTTTTAAAATAATTTTTGGACTTGTCACGCGCCCCCACGCGCCAGCACAGACACGGACCTACGCGCCCCCCACGCGCGGCCATGTGCCATGCACGCTGACGGCGTCAAGTGACGCCGTCAGGAATATTCCCTAGAATTGACGGAATATTCCGTTAACCCTGACTGACGCCGTCAACGTCCGTTAGGAATATTCCGTTAAACCCTAACGGAATATTCCCCTGTCTTCTCCGGACAAACCCCCCTCGCCGGCGCCGTCGCCGGAAACCTGCAACTCGCCATACCTCACTCGTTTTTCCACCTTTTTTCACGTTTCTTGCACCAAAATGACCCCTAGAACTAGGAGAATCACGATAGACTGGTTTTAAGGGCTAAAAACTACGCGAACATACCTGTCCACGAAATCAAAAACCGGCCAACTTCGTACAGGACGATCCCGACGTCCAAATTTGTCCAACGAAGCACTCCTAAGCTCCTGGGAACCTCACAAACACAACTACAAGCTTCAAAAGTCCAAAAACAAGCTAGATTAAGTTTGCATGAACAGTGTTCAAAACGGAGCTTACGAGATCGACGTGAAAACGACTAGTTTCTCACCTGAAAATGGTACCACTGGACTCCACTCAACTACACGAGTTCGATGGTGGTCTTGGATCCCTCGATCTGTCCAGGTTTGAAGGGTTGTGTGGGTGTCCGTACGTTTTTGTTTGAAGAAGAAAAAGAATAAAGGACTCGGGGGAGAGAGGGAGAGAGAGACAGTGACAGAGGGTGAGGGATAGAGATAGGATGTGTGTGTGTGGTCCAGCTTTGGTCAACACCTCACAAAACAATCAAAAACGTAATAAGAACAAACTAGGGGTAAAACGGTCAAATCACATGTATGTTTCTATATTGCCGGGACGGGATGTCACAAATGTAACATCTCTAACACTAAATGAATATATTTAGAAATAAAAAATATTTTATTATCAAAATAATTAATGATGTTTATTAATACATAAGGACCTTGATAAAAAAAATTGAAAAGAAATAAGATTTTAATCAATGAAGTAGCAACGGAAAGACTTTGTTTGCCGTCATTTTTATCTTAGTCACTACAGTGTTATTCTTTTTATCAGAAATAACACAGTGGTCATCATCAAATTTAATAGAGAAGCCTTTTTGTAGGAGTTGTCCTACACTTAATAAATTTTGTGCCAAATTAGGAACATATAGCACATCATAGATTAGTTTTGCTCTACCTTCTCGAGTTTGAACAAAGATAATACCCTTGCCTTCCACGTTGTGAAGCTTTCCATCTCCGAGCTTGACTTGTGAATTCACATTTTCTTCAAATTTGACAGAACATTGTTTGTTTCCGGTCATGTGGTTATTGCATCCGCTATCCACGTACCATATATCTTGTGGTTCTTGACGAGCGCTGAGACATGTATAAAATAGTTGTTCTAGAGAATCATTATTTTCTGTGAAATTGGCTTCATTATTTTTCTGATATCTGCAATCTCTTTGAGAATGGTTGGGTATTCTGCACCGGGTACACTTATACCGACAATCTGCACTTTTGTGCCCAGTCTTTTTACAAACATAACATTCAGGGACAAAGTTACCATTTTGGTTGTTTTGATGGCTGCGTCCTTGCTGATTGTTGTTGGTATAGTTGCCTTTGTTGTAATTCTTCCGCCAATGAAATTTACTTTTTCTGTTTTGAGACTTTTGAGATTCTCCTCTTTGTTTGTCTTCTTTCTCCTTCGAATCCAATTTGGATTGAAAGGCTTGCTCCAAGGATTGGTCTGTAGACCTATTAATCATTTTTGCATGTGCTTCCAAAGAACCAATTAGTTCATGGAGCGAAAGTGCAGCGAGATCTTTTGACTCCTCCATTGCTGCAACAACATGATCGAACTTCGGCGGTAGACTGCGTAGAGTTTTCTCTACAATTTTCTTGTCTGGAATTGCATCCCCATAACTTCTAATTTGGTTAACATTTCCAGAAACTTTTGTGAAGAAAACCTGAATGGATTCATTCTCCTTCATTAGTAAATTATCAAACTCTCGCCACAAGGATTGGAGTTTGATGGAGATAACTTTCTGTGAATCATGGAACTCAATTTTGAGTATTTCCCAAGCATTCTTTGATGTAGTTGCAGAAAGTAATCTTCGAAAGAGATTCCCTGTTGAAGTAGGAATAAAGCCTTGGCATCTCTTTTCCTATTTTCTGTAAGTGCTTGCCGCAATTCTGGTGTCACTTTTCATGTCGATGTTTTTTCCGGTTCCTTGTAACCATCTTCTACAAGATCCCAAAGATCTCGAGAGATGAACAAGGTCTTCATTTGTAGACTCCAATATTCATAATTCTCTCCATCGAAAATAGGCATTAAATTTTGAATATTTCCAATCGTTGAGGAATTTGAACTTGATGCCATGATTAACACAGCGGAGGAATCGATTGGCTCTAATATACCAAATTTGTTGGAGGATGATGGATATGAGAGAATATGGAAGAGAGTTTTAAACATGAAACTGAAGCTTTATTGATTTCAAATTTATTACAACACTAGGCCATCTTATTGGCTATTTATAATAACATTCAAACATTTTCATAATAGACATAACTCTTGGATTAGTTCCAAGAGTTGTAGACACAACCCTCGACTTCTAATGAGATACAACTCTTCCTAAACATAGCTCTTCTCAAGAGACACAACTCTACTTAACAACTGATACAACTTACAGGGAGAAAATGCATTACGTTTAACACTAGGGCTACCCCCCCAAAACAAGCATGGGGCTACACTTTGTACCACAAGTCGACATTGGTAGCATACCAAATTTTGGTAACAAGTGGCATTTTCATGATGAATTATTTATTTATTTTACGGATATGACTAGCTAAAAGATCACAAGTTGAATAATTTTTGCATGTATAATTTTTTAATGATAATAAAGAGAATGAACGATTCTGATTATAATATTCGAACGGTAATATTTGTTAACCATAAATAGGAGAACAAATATATCCCTCGTAAAGGACACACGCATTATCTATATTTTTTTATGTTAATTTGATGGTGTTCGTCCCTTATGGAAAAATTGCTTGGCTTTTCCCACAGGTGAGCAATTCAACCAATGAAAGAGTCTGAGAGATTTTGTTGCTCTTTGAGGTGTACATTGTATATATATTAATACAGGAAGACAAGAGATTCTTTGTGTGAACAAAATTTGAGTTAAATTCTTTGTTGCTTCATGTTCTTTGTCTTTATTCTTTGTCTTTGTTCTTTTCTCTTTGTTCTTTGTGTTTGTTCTTTCTCCTTTCTTCTTTGCTCTTTCTCTTTGTTTTTTTTTGGCTTTTTCCACACACAGACAAATATATTTTGTTCTTTAAAAGAAGTAACTGAGGTTTTTGTGATTCCTACTCAATATTTTATGAGTGGTGCTATTCATACAATTATTTTTACTTCTTACATATCTTTCTTACTTCTCAGCCGTTGGATTGAATGAATTACAAAAGGTTAACGGATAAAAATTAACAAAAGTGTGAGAGGTAAAAATGAGTGTTTAAATAACACTATCCTATTTTATTGATGGCAACCATATAATCTAATCAATTACCATTTTTTTTCTATTTAAGAAAATGGACGTTATATTATTGGAATGGCACGACTTAAATTGCGCTGGTCATCTACATTGCATAACTTGATTTTTAACTGTTGAATACTAGAAATTATGTTTCTACTATTCGGGTTATGATAAAATCCGGATGCCATTGCTTTTAAGTATTTTTATTTCTAATGTGTATTTTAGGGAGTCTCAACTATTAAAGGAAAGATTTTTTAGCATATCAGAAACACCGCGTGTCATAATATGAATGGAGAGAAGTTTATTTTTCTCCAGCGTCCATCCACTTATATTATGATACTCGGTGTACCACGTCGTGTTCTCGTACACTAAAAAATCTCTCCTATTAATGGGGTTCTTCTGCAATGTTTTCTGATATTATATGAGATGCCTAAATAATTACTGCTGGTGTTGAAGTGTGCAGTACTTTGGTCACGGATGTTATTGGCTAGAGATAAAAAAGAGGGCATTGTAACAGTTGCCATTGGTGGTACAAGTGGTTATGGTAAAAGAAGGTTTGTATAGTTTACTGTAGGCAAAAAGCAGGAATATTGCAGGTGTTTGATGCATTCCTAATCTTTATTGTAATCTAAATATTTACTGAATCTTAACAGAAAAGGTGGCGTCTGTTATTGGTTGCACCGTTGTGTCATATTAAAAGATCTACGATATTTAAAGACCTACGTCATATTAAAAGACAGACGTGAATTCAGTGTCTTGGCAATGCAGCTTCAGTTTCTAAATGGTAGCTCTCTGCATGCTATTCTCCCTCCACCTTGTAAACTGAAAACCTCCTCGTAGTATTTAGGTAATCTTTTGTACTCATCATGAGGGTCATTGAGTACATAAATATTTGAGTTATTATGGCTGGAAACGTCAAGGGAGTAACTTCAGATGTGGAGAACCAGGCAGCAGAGAAAACAGACAACTTCGTACTCTCAGGCTCCTATTCCACACGCCATGTCTTAAGTTCGTGTCATATTCATTGGAGGTGATGCAAAGATATTCTATTTAATTTTTCTCAATATCAATTCCAACATGATTATTGTCCTTTCAAATATCTTTAAAATCTCAACAGTGTTCTTTAGGAATGGGAGAACATAAGAACCTCCCCATAAGTTGGGTGGTGCCAGGGCCTGTAAACGGGTTGGGTGGACCCAATTTGGTGTCTGAGGAGTGATCTTAAGTATGAAGTTAGTATGAAAATTCGCACATTTATCCTGATAACTAACTTCCCTACTTTTGTACCAAATCACATGTTAATCAAACTTGGTCACATGTATTTGAAAATTATGATTCAATTAATTCATATTCGAGTCAATATCCATAATGATATCCAAGAATAGAACAAACACCAAATATCCATAATGATATCCAAGAAAAGAACAAACACCGAAATTAAATTTGGGAATATAAGAGTTGTTTACAAACTCAACTAAATTCACTAGGGGGATTCGGCCAATATAGGGACTTCCATGTCAAAAACTCTCTTACATGCACCGACTCTTAGAGGTATATCTCTACAAGGTGGTGTCTTTAAGATCACAAGATAAATTAAGTCTCATATGTTGACTATGGAATGGTACTCCTCAACAACATTGGTTTAGGGACTATCTCTAAGTCTTGAAGTTTTAGATCTTAGAAGTCAATGGATCACACTCATGGTTGTGATTGCTACACCTTAGTGGGCCCTGATTTTATCATTATTCACGAGCTAGAGTTTGCTACCATGTTGTGACCTATATGCCAATATCGGCTATTTGGGCTTTGTGAAGCACTCAACATTTACTTCGGAGTATCTTTGAGCCAGTAGAAGCACACCTGACAAACTCAGTTAGGGGCATTGTTGTGCTTTTCAGGAAGCAACATGGTAGTAATCATATTCGAGAATTTAATGAACTTACGTTCTTTATACTGCTATTGCAGTAGCATGGAAGGAGGAGAAAATCTTCTCTTGTCAAATTCAATCGGATTCTACAATTTGTTAGAATTGCACCATTTGTGGACTTAAGCGGTCCATAAGAGTGAGTGAATGACCCATGACGGAGACTTTGTCACCCCTTCCATGCTATTGTTGGCCTCAATGGTTTCTCAATTTGTTAGTAGTCAAGTGGAATATCACATCTTTGACCCACTTCAATTAGCGTCCCACAAGTGTGGAAATTAGTACTATGTTAATAAGACATCCATTGGTATCATAGTTATTAGTTAGAACATTTGAAATCTAATACATGGTTTGGTTTAACGGATTAATCATGGAGAACATATGCTCACAACATGAGTGGTGCATTCTAGAAAACTCAAAAGATTTCTACGGTATAATCGAAGAGCTTCGAAACCCATGTGTGTGGGGCGGAGTCTTCGAGACTCTCAGTATGCCTCACAAGGTTAATATCAAACTTTTTTCATTTCTTTATTTCATCTTTCCTTCCTGGGGCTGAGCACAGGGATCCAGTGGTACTAGCTGGGTCGGAGAGTACAAGGCCCACCACGGCAAAGGGGGTGATGACTTGGGTCAGGTCTATCAATGCGCCATGACCGGCCCACAGAAGATACTTACGTAGGCTTGGTTGGGGGCTTCGCCTTCGGCTGTTCGGCAGTGTCACCACAGCGTGGCCCAGTGGAGCTCTAAGCCACCATTGCCTTCTGGATGATGGTCTAGGCGAGGGGAAAGAACGAGAGCACCACAGGTTCGTAAAGAAAACCCAAATTTTCGCGAAGGGAGTACATCGTTTTTGAGGGAGAAGGGCCGCAAGAGGTTACAATTGGCTCCATCGGAGACTGGGCTTGGGTGGTGGTTTTAGTAGCCATTGGCCTGCGGCGTTGCTTGCTGCAACCCCACCAACACCGGCCTCGTCAAAATCTCACAATCCTGGAATCCATCATCTCAAAAATAATGTTCGCTGACATAAAGTTTGAAGTACCAATAATAATTCTCTTATTGTTATTCATTATTCTTTTGCGTTATGCAAGGACGAATACTTGTTTTAGTGAAGAGTGCCTGAAACATACCTAATAGCTGCCATTAGAATCAGATTTGTGCCTGATTTTATCTTGTTTAATTTGTTAGCTGGAGGGGTTCATATAAGGGTTTAGGGTGAATGCATATGAATTTCATTTGTTGTTTGCTGTGTGTTTCCCAGAGAGGCCGGAGAACGTTCGAAATCAACATGCAGCAGAGGGCTTAACTTGATAAAGAAGATTCGTAATGCGCAGCAGGGGCCTTACCTTCCAATATGGAGCAGAATATTTGTGCTATCATGCGTATTTGCTGTCTCTCTTGATCCTTTCTTCTTTTACGTTGTGGTCATCGATCAGGATAACAAGTGTTTTCAAATAGACAAAACGTTGGCTATTGTTGCTCTTCTTATGCGGTCGATCACGGATGTCATTTTCATGGTGCATTTAATATGTGAAATCTGTGACGGTGTTCAAAATCCAAATCCAAAAACCCTGAAAAAAGGAGCCCCTTCGACGGAGGAACAAACCGGGGGAAATTCAGATAAGAAGACGAAAATCAGAGAGTTGGCTGATCAAGTTGCCATGAAATTAGCTCAGAAGGTGCCTTGGTTATCTGTCTTTACTGTAATAGACTTTTTGGCTCTTCTTCCCCTCCCACAAGTAAGAGAAATGAACTAAACTGTAATTTTCTCTTTTGTGGCTAGCTGAAATTGGTGGAATTCTATGTTCTAAGTTCTAACCCCTTTTTATCATTTGATCTTTTGCAGCTGCTCATAGGAGTAATTTTTTACACAATGAATGGCTCAGGATTTGTGGAACACAAAAACATTCTGAATTTTTTTCTTCTCGGTCAATATTTTCCGAGGATTTATCGAATCAACCTATCGGCCAAGGAATTCAAAATGACTAGTGGGATATGGATTAAGGGTCTATACAACATGTTTCTCTACATTCTTTCCAGCCACGTAAGTTTCACCTTAATTGGCATTCTGTTTTAGTACTTTGGTAATTACTAATGTTGGGTTACGGATGCAATTTTTTTTTTTTTAAATGTTAGACTAATTACCTGGGGTTTTGTGTTTGCATTTTATGGATTTAGGTACTCGGAGCTTTTTGGTACTTTTTTTCTGTTCAACGAGAGTTAACTTGTTGGCAAGAGGCTTGTGTAAATCACAGTAAAGATCCCAGGGCATGTTTGAATACTTTCAACTGCGATAGTCGAAGTACTACTGCAAGAAATATAACATTTCTAAATGAGCATTGCCCTTTGGATACTCCAAATGGTGCTTCATCTCCATTTAACTTTGGCATATTTCTTGATTCCCTTCAGAATCAAAACACGGAGCAAATACTGTTCAGAAAGAAGTTCTTTTACTCCTTCTGGTGGGGGTTGCGAAATCTAAGGTTCACATTATAAATATTGACAATCAACAAAATTTAGAAATTTTTGGGGTTATCTAATTCAGTAACGTTGTCTGATATGATATCATGTACCTTAATATCTTGCAGTAATTTTGGGACTAATCTGATGACGAGTACATATGTGTTCGAAAACTTGTTTGCGGTTCTCATTTCTGTAATTGGCTTGCTACTGTTTTTATATCTCATCGGAAACGTGCAGGTTGGTATATTCAATCTCTCTGTAGGTACATTAACTTTCAACAATTTTCCCGTGTTTGGGACTACATGCGGAGATCATTCTTCGAGTATGTTAAGTAATTGTCTGTTTTGTGGCGAGACAGACTTTTATGCAGATGGAAGCTACAAAAACAGAAGAGCTGAGAGAAAAGATTAAGTTAAAGAAGCTAGACGTAAGGACATGGATGTCCAGAAATGAAATCCCTGATTATATGAAGGAAGAAATCTTGAGAAGCATAAAGCGAAAATTGAAACGACACATTGATGCTGATCTCCATCATTTTCTGTTCTATATTCTTCCTGTGAATATCAGAACATCTCTGAAACATTTTCTTTGCATTAAGACACTTCAGAAAGTATGTTCCAAAACCTCCAGCTCTCACTAGTAATTTATGGTATACAGTGCTCTTAAAAATTGACGTTAACATTCATCATTTGAATTACAATAAAGATAAGATTGCACTAACTTAAAAGTCCCAAGTTATATAATAATGCTAGGTTAGTTAACAACACATAATAACATTGTTATTACTATAGCTAGGTTAATTGCATCCATTTTCACTGCAATGTTGTTCTGATAATATATGTCTGCTTGCGCGCATGCGTTTAGGTAAAAAAGCTTGAAGATATGGATGTCAAAGTGTTGACGTTGATCTGCAACTATCTGAAGCCAGTGAGGTACACTGAAAACAGCTTCGTTTTTCGAATGGGAGATCCACTCGACTGCATGCTGTTCATTATCGAAGGGACAGTGTGGACCTACGGGTCGACTGAGAGTCAAGCTGGGCAAGGAATCTCATCAATGGACACCAAGCCCCTTGGGAAAGGTGACTTTTACGGGGAAGAGCTTCTCGATTGCGCATCACACCGTTTCACCAAACTTCCAGTCTCCAGCAAACATGTCAAAAGTCAGACAAAAGTAGAAGCATTTGTGCTCATGGCCAAGGACTTGGAAACTGTAGTTTCCAAATACCGGGTAAAGTGGGAGAAAAACGAGAAGAGGGGTTCTCAATTGTTGGAGTCCGTGGCAGCTTCTACCATAGTATCAGCATTCCGTCTTCATCTCCGCAAAAGGGAACGTGCACAACAATAGGATACCGCTAGCGTTTTAGAAAGCGCTAGTCAACCCACACTAATAGCGATCAAGCCTTTTCCATAGCGTTTTTGAAGTGCTATGAATTTTCTTTTATTGCATAAAATTATATGAGTGAATAGATCATATCATAGCATTTGGAAATGCTATAATAAAAATATGTCAAAACTCTTTGTTCTTTCCATAATTGTGTTTATTACATGCTACTTCACAATTGATACAGTTGTTACAAATAGACTAAATGACATTCAGTTTACAATTCAAACTTACGTTAAATCATATATAAATTTTAAAACAGGACTTCAAAGTATTCAACTTTGATCTAAGATGACTTGCCCGAATTGAAGCTCTGATCTTCTTGAAATATATGAGAGGAATTACCTGCTATTTTCTGTAACATGCCTAAAATTCAAAGCTACAACCACTATTAAGGGAAGCTTCTTATGGTGAGTCACTTACTGAAGAGATTCTTCAGTGTGTCCGAAATACGGGCACAAACGTCAATTTCTTTATATAAGTGGATAGACACTTGAAAAAAAATAAATAAATAAATTCAAGAATCTGCACAGACAAAAACAAAAACACATAAAGTGATAGCTGATTAAAATCATGAATCCAGGCAGTAAATTCCAATTCTCTTCATTCAACTGAATTAATTACAACAGAATGCAGCTAATTGACATACTTGAAGCTATATATATGGAAGCCTTTAAGGGAAGGGATCCCTATTTCTTTTTTTAATAAAAAATGAGGATTAGTTGTGGGGTCCACACCACGTCGAACTATAACGATCCGAACCATCTATTTTTCAAGTTGTATCTCATAGATCATTTTTACAAAATATTAACCAAATCGGAAATATTAGGATATGGGCTAAGGGATTCAATATATATATATTGAATTTACCTATTGGCCAAGGAATTCAAAAGGACTAATGGGACATGGGCTAAGGGTTTATACGACTTGTTTCTCTACGTTCTTATCAGTCATGTAAGTTTCACTTCAATTGTCTCTATTTTGATACTTTGGTAATTACTAATATTGGATTATGGATGCAGTTTTATGGAAATGTTAGTGGGGTTTTGTGTTTGCATGTTATGAATTTAGTTACAACTTGAACTGAGTTGTTTGTGTCTAAGATTTGGTTTCAATTTAAACTGAGTTGATTGCCATTTAGCCACTCTTTCTCTCTCTCAAAAACCAACCACATTTTATCCGTCACCATCAGGTTATTTAGCAAGGTTCTTACAGCCTACAAGGCTTTGGACTACTAGATCTTCTAAATACTAATCAGGGTCATTGTATCACAAATTATGGTTTGCACCAGACGCAATCAAAGGTGTTAGTTCTTCTTTACAATATTAATACTTCATTTTTTTTCTTTTTAAAAAAGAATATATTGAAGTCACTTCTTAAGAGCGATCCCGCCCTACCGTTGACGGGACCACCGATACTGTATAACAATCACAATGTGATCAATACTTGGAAATTATGTGGGAATTACAATTGTACTATGGCTATGCTATCCCGCTCCATGAACAGGAAATCTCTGCTAAGAAGCTGGTTGTATCTCGAATGTTGTAGCTTCAGCTTATGATTCTGATTCTCTTGTTAGTTTGTTGTATATTTTTCAGTAGGAAAACTTTGACTACTTGGAATCAACTGGAGCCACTGTGGAACAAGATAATTACAATGTCATGTGTGGTTGCTGTGATAATCGATCCCTTGTTCTATTAAATTCCAATCATCGATCAGCATAATAAGTGTCTTGAAATGGACAAACAATTCAAGAATATTTCTCATCCGTGCGTGATCTGTCATTTTCGGATTACTCGCAGATATTCCTCATCCGTTTTGAATAATGAATTCTTTGAAGAAAATAAAATAGAAAATTAGATTTTAATCCTTAAATAAGATGAAGTTTAGAAAAATGTCTTATACAAAATTAAAAATTGAATTTAATCCCTATAAACTCTATTTAATGCCAGCATACGTATTCAATGTCTCTCTTTTTTATTTATAATTTTATGGTGTTCATATTAAATTTTATGAAAATATTATAAATTTTAATTCTCATTATGGTAAGTAACTTATATAAAAAAATATTTTCATAGAGATTTTTCGGTACACTTGGTACATTAGGTTAATATGTTTAGGTACGGATATTTCGGTATACTAGTTTAGAATAATATATTTAGGTATCGACATTTCGGTACTCTAGTCTAGTATCATATTAGCAAGGGAAGCCCGCGTTATGTTGTAGGATTGAAAGTTGTATGAAAATTTTGTACGTGGTATTATTTACACACAAAAGATAATACTTCATGTGTGTCCATATTATTTACATACAAAAGATTTAGTAAATAATCCTATTTACATATAAAAGATAATACTCGACGTACATGTACACAATAGTTAAGATTTACTATATTGTCCACTGGTCCTTTACTTTGATAGTACAGTGAATCGAGTTAAAGCTTGCAGCTTCTGGGAACTGAAAAAGGAGGAAAAGAAGAGTTAGACTATGTAATGTGTATTTGCTTGACAGTACTATGTGGTGCGATGAATATAATCAAATCAAAGAGATTAAAAGTATGAATATTAAAGAACATAGGTGTATCCATTCCCAATTTTTTTCTCATCCAAATCAACAACATGCCGAATCAACTCAAAAATAAAGCTAACTACATGCCGAATCAACTCAAAAAGTCACATAGATATGCGCAAACATGTAAAAATGATAGTCCATTGCAATCCATAGTTGGCAATACAAACATGTTCTCATCTTACTTAAGCAACAAAAAGCACCAACTCATTAACTCATAACAATCTGATACATGCATATAAACGTTTACCACCTTTTCCACGTATTTGAAATTTTGAAGGAAACGCCAAAATAAGAGCAAAACAAAATGCATAGCTAATTCCAAACATTCGTTGGAAGCAAGCATTGTTCAACTTTAATTGCAAATGGTAAATAAAATGGCTATGTATTTTCAATGATAAAGAGCTTAACAGATATTGAAATTTTTATAAATAAGTTGTGTATTTGCTTATGCTACCAACAACTATATTTCCATGTGAACTATGTAAATAAATTTTGATATGAACTATGTATATGTAATTGTCCAATAGTTTTTTCTTGTATATGTACATAGATCTGGTTTTCTTAGGTTGGGTCAACTTCATCAGTATGTTGCTTAAAAGCAAGGATTTTTGTTGGCTTTTTCAAATTACTAATGATGGAATTCCAATGCCTTAGCCAGGCGTATCGAAATTATGGGTTTCATTTGATCAATGCCCCTGAAAAATAAGAAACTAACATAAATTGCAATAAGCAGATAAATGAAGAGGCGCAATTGTGATTTGCTTAAAGGTGACCGAGTAAAGAGATAAATTGGAAAATTAACGAAAATAAGGTTGTAACAGGATGAACTAAAGAGATAAATTGGAAAATTAACGAAAATAAGGTTGTAACAGGATGAACTATGTTACCAGATTGCTCAGCTACCATATTAGATATGAGAAATAGAATTAAAGGGCAGTCAATATGAGAAATAGAGTTAAATAGCAGTAAATAGCAAATTGCCCAAACTTTTATGCATGACTAAAATATGTTATTTCTGAAATGGTCTCTCAAACTTGTGTGCATGGTTAAAAGTAATGAATTTGGTCTGCAAGGATGTTTGAAATTTACGTTTTGCATTTTGGTCTTAGAAAAATGAGAGTGAACTATAAAAAAAAAGGGAAAAAGAAAATTTGGAAATCTAATATGTGCATGCAGAAAAAACTCAACAACCTTAAAAGATGAGTCTATGTAGTAGCAATCATGTAAGAGTAACAATACTGGAAAAATTAATTAAAATGCTTCTGTAAGATCTAATAAAAATTGAAGTAAAAGAAATGATCTGAGATGTGAGAGACATATATACCATGTGTGTTCTAAGTTTGATGTGCAATGTAAAGGTGGCGGCTATAGCGGAGCTAGAAAAATTTTCATGGGTGGGCTAGCTAAAATTATTAGCATGTAATCATATGATATTTCTTTTACCTACATAAAATTATATAATAATCTACATAAAAGTAAGAACATGAAGTACTAATCCAAATGAGTTTATTAATTACTTTCCAACTAATTTTTACACAAATAAAACATGCATACAAAAAAACAATAGAAAGAGAACAAATATTATCACTTTTGTTGATAACAAGTACCCAAAAGAAAAAAAAGGTTAGGGGATACCAATTCAAGTTGTGCCCTGTAATGGAATTGAAATCTTTTGTTATTCTCAGAATTGATATTGTTGTCAAACCCTTTATATTAGTTACAAATACAAGAACCATGAAACATGGGCTATTCCCAAAATCTTTAACCTTAATAGATAAATTCAAGGACTAAAAATAAAAAATAAAAATAACCTAACAATTGAGTCGAGAAATAAGTTAATGAAGAGATGAAGAACATACTTGGTGTTGAATTTCATTAGAAAATAATTTGATGGTGATTCATAGTTTTTCTTTTCTTGGGAAAGCAACGCAGCTTTGTGGAGGAGGGTATAGGGTTTTGAACGAATGGGGTAAAAAGCATGGAGAGTAGGAGAAACCTAATTATGTATTAATTTACCACTTTTACTTTTAGCCTCAAATAATATATAAGGTAATAAAAGTATTATTTATAAATTAAGAAACACATTAACTATTAGTTTTGACAAGATTTGGGTGGGCTATTATACTTACAATAAGCAACAACAACCTCATATATAAACTATTATAGCTGCATTTTGTTAAAATCCTCCCTAGGCTACAGCCCACTGTAGCCGTGGGTGTAGCTACGCCAGTGGGTGGCGGTGGCTAATGAGTAAAGGCTGATGGCATTGATCCTTTCTGGGAGAAAATGGGAAGAATGATCTGCAAGAGAGTGAGAGAGTGGAGACTATGTTGCATTTATAGGATGGTAATTGATAAAGGCAAGAGTGGATCATAAGATAAGATTGACTTACAGTGGGTGACATATTTTTATTAGAGCAATTCCACCTTTAAGGACTTTGCGCCAGCATTCAGCCCATTTATCCACTAAAGTGAACAGTAATAGACCACAATGAACAGTAATAGGCCAAAGCATCTCCACTCCTAAAAAAAATAACCTAGTTCATTTTATTAAAATATTATTATTTTTTATTATAAAATAATAAAAAATAATACTTTTATTTTTAATTTCTGAATTTATAAAAAATAAAATAATAATAATAATAATAATTTCTGAATTTATTAAAAAATTTCTGTATTTTTTAAAAGTGAAATTCTTAATTTTTTGGGGAAAAAAACGTGGACCGTTGATCTGTGATCGGACGATCCAGTTTAAAAGTGAAATTCAAATTTTTTTTTACTGTTGGAAATCCAACGGTCTAGAATAACTAGCCGTTGGAAATCCAACGGTAGAAATTGGGCCACGTTGCCCACCCGAGGGAGAGGTTAATGCACCTGCGTTGCTGGGCCCTACCTCTAATTTTGTTGTCTGCTACTCGCTAGGAGCGCGCGTGTAGGACACGCGCCAGGCTTAACAACACAAACAGGCCGGTCTCCAGGTCTGTCAAAAATGGGCTGGTCTGGATACCAGTTTGTGCTGGGTGCCAGGCAAACACACGGGCTGGAGTGGATTGGCTGAGTCCCAGCCTGTTTTTTCCACTGGGTGCTGGCCTCTTGTTGCTCTGGTGGAACTGCTCTTAGGATGGTCCTTGTATTTCACTCCAAAATGCTTCGGATATAAAACTGACTGAAAATTTTATACAAATATAATTACAAAAATTAAATCATAGTAAAAAACGATCGATTTGAAGAGAGGGAGAGGGGGAGAGAGAGAGAGAGATAGCATTGATCATACATGAAAACGATGAAGGCACTTGTAGGCTTCTTAGGATTATTTAGATCATTTGCATCATTCTTGCTCGTGCCAGCGCTTTTGTTCTTTAACCTATCAAAATTCAAAATTAAAAAAAAAATGCAAACACAAACAAACCACTACTATTATCCTGCTCACCCTGTCCAGATTCCATGATTCCAAATAAACCAAAAGGGAAAAACAAATACAAAAAGAATAAGGAAAAATAAAACCTAGGTAAAATTTCACAAACAAATTAGCAACAATTTTCCATTAAGAAAAAGATGCTATAACAATTGTCCCTCAAAGAATAAAAAAAAGAATGCCCACAATTTTGTTTGGCAAATACTCCAGCTTTGTATCTTCCTAACATAGGATCTATTCTTTTCCTGTAAGAAATATTATTGTCTCGATGCTCATTGGAATATAAGGGAATGCATGTGGTTTTCACATTTTGAAAATAACTGAAGTTCTTACAAAAAAAAAAAAAAGTAAAATTGTTTGCAGTCGGTCTTTGCGTACCAACAATGTGAAGCCAAAGTGACAATGCGAATTCCCATTCCCAATTGAAGGGAAAAAAAATGAAAAACTAAAGATACCAACCTATTTGTTCAGTCTGATGGCTGACAATATATCCAATGCGAATAGATTTTTCTTTTGAAAATTGCAATTGTGTTCCCCAAAACAAAGTGCAATAAAATCGAAGAAAGGATTTGAAGATGAAATGAAGCCCGGGTAAAATAAAAACAAATGAATTGAAATTCAGATAACCAAAAGCAGATTACCAAATGCTTTTCTTAATTTCCTCTTAACATGGTAACACATCACGTTCACCACGTTTAGATGAATTGATTCAAATCTTCCTTCAGTAATCTAATGACGCATAAATTAAGCAGAGAAATCACTTCATAAACCCTAATTACTGGAAATGAGGAATCTTTGAAAGGGAAGCTCACCACTGCTATCATGGGGCTTGAGCACATGGGGCGTCAGAGGCTGAAAACAAAAGCCCAACAAACAAAAATACAGGGTCTCCTAAAATTGAAAGCAGAACCAAATTAAACACTCGTATGTAGAATCGAAGGCTACAAACAAAACCCCCCAAAATCACAAAAAGGAAATTTGAACACAAAATCCATTTGTAAATCCAAAATCACAAAAAAGAATTTCAAACAAAACAAAACCCCCCAGATGATATCGATATTGTTCTGATAACAACAGAAATCCCAATACCGAGAAAGCCGTAAATCTCACCAGGAAACTGGAGCTTTTCTGGGTAAAATTTTATTCGAATCAAACTCAAAACCCGAAGAAAATTCTACTGTTGGTTGGTTTTTTCACCAAGAAACTTCTATTGGTTTGTTGGTAGCTTGTGAGAAAAAAGAACGCAAGGTTTCAAAGTGAGAGAAGCCGAGAGCGACAGAAGGCGAATTCCAGAGAGAAGTGGGAAAGTCTAGAAGTTGTAGACAAAGCAGACTTCTCGACAATGATAGACACGTGTTTAGCGTTGACAAACATGTAATTTCACTGTACCATGATAAAAAATAAAAAAAAGAACAGAGTGGCTAAGGGTATTGCCGCCATTTCATTATTCATTAACAGTGAAAAACAGTACCGGAAAACTAAGTATTAGTATATGTATAATTTTAGGTACGAAATTTTTCGGTTCACTTATGTTTTTGCATATTTTCTTATGTGTCACTAATTCACAATTATATATTTAGGTACAGACATTTCGATACACTAATTTAGTAAAATATATTATGATACGTACGTGTAGGTACACTAATTAGAGAAAGTAAAATAAAATTAATGAATTAAATGTGTATAATAATTATAAATTTTAATGTAACGACATTAAATAAGATATGTAACATCCCACATCGACCAACGGAGAGAAGGTGATGTGTCTTATATGTACATGCCCACCTCCATATAGCACAAGGCCTTTTGGAAACTCATTGGCTTCGGATTACATCGGAACTTCGAAGTTAAGCGAGTTTAGGCGAGAGCATTCCCATGATGGGTGATCCACTAGGAAGTTCTCGTGAGTTCCTAGAAATAAAACCGTGAGAAAATGGTAAGTCCAAAGTAGATAATATCGTGTTACGGTAAAGCCAATCCGGGATGTGACAGAATGGTATCAGAGCCACTCTGCCTTGTGGTGCGAGTGTGTCGACGAGGAAGTCGGGCCCCAAAGGGGGGTGGATTGTAACATCCCACGTCGACCAACGGAGATGGGGTAATGTGTCTTATATGTACATGCCCATCTCCATATAGCACGAGGCATTTTGGGAATTCATTGGTTTCGGGTTTCATCGGAACTTCGAAGTTAAGCGAGTTTGGGCGAGAGCAATTCCAAGATGGGTGACCTACTGGGAAGTTATCGCATGAGTTCCTAGAAACAAAACCGTGAGAAAATGGTAAGCCCAAAGCGGACAATATCATGCTACGAAGGAGCCAGTTTGGGATGTGACAGAATGGTATCAGAGTCACTCTGCCATGTGGTGCGAGTGTGCCGACGATGACATCGGGCCCGTAAAGGGGTGGATTGTAACATCCCACATCAACCAACTGAGAGGGGGTGATGTGCCTTATATATACATGCCCACCTCCATATAGCACGAGGCTTTTTGGGAACTCACTGGCTTTGGGTTCCATCGGAACTCTAATGTTAAGCGAGTTTGGGTGAGATCAACCCCAAGATGGGTGACCCACTGAAAAGTTCTCGTGTGAGTTCTTATAAACAAAACTGTGAGGTAATGGTAAATCCAAAGCGGATAATATCATGTTACGGCGGAGCCGATCTGAGATGTGACAAGATATCTATTAAATATTAAAACAAAAATGTAATATGAATTTGGATTAAGTACACATTAGAGGACTAAAATCAATATCCAATCTAACACCAGATTTTTATTGAATTTTAATCTTCTTCAAGGATTAAAGTTCAAAAACCCCAAAATAAAATGACAGATCAAGAAGTTACGTATTAAACCAAAAATAAAAAATAAAAAATCAAATTTCCTTATTCAGAGATCAAATTTCCACGTACATGCTTGCAATCATATATATACATATATACATATATACATATATATATGTATATATATGTATATATATATATATATAGTCAATTTAGTCACCTTACTGATAGGCATCCATCTTACCTAGTAGTTTCTAGTTCTTTTTTTTCTTTTTTCTTTTTTTGACCCAAAAATAAAAATAAAAATAACTACCTACAAGATAGAATAATAAGCAAATCAAAAAAGAGGTTGAGTGTGACATCCCGTCCCGAAACTATCGAAACGCATAGGTGAAATGACCCTTTTAGCCCTAGTTTGTTTTGTTATGTTTTTGGTTACTTGGTGTGGTGTTGGCAGGTGCTGGGCCACCCACACACACCCTCATTGTCCCTATCCCTCTCTCAGTCTCTTTCCCTGTCTCTCTCTCTCTCCCGAGTCCTCTATTATTCTTCTTCTTCCTTCAAACTCGTACGGACACACCTACAACTACACTATTTCACCACAGATCGAAGGAACTAAGGGCACAGTTGAGATCGTGAGGTCGTGGGGAGCAAGATCATACCAATATCAGGTAAGAACCTCGACGTTTTCACGTCGATTTCACAAGGTCCGTTTTAGTCACTGTTCATGCAAGATTAATCTAGTTAGTTTTTGGACTTTTGAAGCTTGTAGATGTGTTGGTGAGGTCCCAAGGAGCTTGGGAGTGCATCGTTGGACGGAATTGGACGTCAGATTAGCCTGGTTCGAGTTTGACCGGTTTTGGTAATTGGTGACAGGTGAGTTCTCGTGAGTTTTAGTCCTTAAAACTTATATGGACGTGTTCTACCAGTTCTAAGGGTTAAAATGGTGCAAGAATCATGGAAAATGGTGGAAAAACGAACGAGAAAACGTAATTTACAGGTTTTCCAGTTTCCGGCGCCGGCGACGACGCCGGAGATTGAATGGAGAAGGAGACGGAATATTCCTGACGCCGTTAACGGAATCTGTCAGTTTTGACGGAATATTCCTAACGGCGTCAGTTGACGCCGTCAGTGTGCCAGGCACGTGCCTGCGCGTGGCCGGCGCGTGCGGCGGTGGAAATTTTTTCTAAAAATATGGTTGTGATCCTGAGGTTGTGTAGAGCACGTTGGTATATTCAATTGTCCATTTTGAGCAATGTATGAGAAGTTATTTTGAACGGAAGGTTATGTGCTTTAAAATTAACGTTTTTATAGTATTTTCGCATATAGGTGACACGTATCCCGAGGACGAGCGTGCTCACGCGAGGCAGGGGGGCTACGACCCTTCCACATACCAGTGAGTGGGCTTTTGGTTTTCCGTATATACCTATATACATTTATATTCCCAGAAATTGTTTAAAAATGGTCATTTGTTTATGTCATGCACCATATTCTTATTATTTATGCATTATCATATGCATTAGTAGTGGCATACATATACATAATTATATTTGGTGCTGTGGAGGCGCAGGTAAGTGCCAGGTAAGCGTTATTTAACCTTTGCATTAAATGGCGATTAGAGGTGCTTAGAGAGCTTATAACCTGCACCCCCGGTGTTAGTGCTCCCGCCCAGAGTAGGGCACAGTCCTTCACGTGTCGTTCACCTCCCGCACCATACGCTCAGCTTGGATCCAAGTTAGGTGCACAGTCTTGTCGTACAGACCACTTTAGGTGGTTCCGACTCGTAGGTGACCCGCGATTATTCGCACAGCCTTCACGTGATCGTAGCACTAGAGCGTTTATATGTATTACACTCAGGCTTGTCGTACAGACCACTATAGGTGGTTCCGACTCGTGGGCAGGTTTATTGATTGAGATTGAGATTTGAGCTCTAGATTCAGCCGTACAGGTCACTTAGGGGACTCCGGCTGCCAGACGTTTTGCTATTGATGTGATTTATACCTGAGCACTTGCATACCATTATAAGGCTTTGACATAGCACATTTTTGAGCATGATTGGCATACCCTTGAACATGATTGGCATATTTATACATACGTATATATATTTATTTCTGGGAAGTATACAGGTTTTACGGCGAAAGGTTAGAATGTATTTTACTAAATGGTTTTCAAAGAGCTTGTTTTTGCCCACTCACGCTTTTGTTTTGCGCCCCTCCAGGTTCTAGTAGCTTAGCGGGTTCGGTGGTTTTCCCAGAGGGCGTCTCGGCATTTCTGACAGACACTCACCAGTGTAGGGTCACCTTCGGGTGTACTACTGTCGTATTATTTTCTTTGGACTGCTGTAGCCTATATGCTCTGAATTCAGTGTCTTACTTACGCTAGCACTCATTTTATCACATTATGTATGCTAGTTTTTAAACTATTCGTACTTTTATATTACTTCCTTTAGCTTCCACACTGTGCACATGGCTACGTCACTTCCACGTGACGGCCAGCATGCCCTGATCTCGGTTGGGGTGTGTCATTGAGAATTGTTCGGAATGAATTGCATGTTATTCTTACCACATTTTTTAACATAAAAATAAAATTTTAAATATTAGAATAATATTATGATCAATGGTGTGATTGGCCGCATTTAATTAAGATGTCACCATATCGGTGTTATTACGAGTCAATTATGTGTTTGAAACTTTTACGTAGCTATTTATTAGCAGTTTAGTATACCACTACAGTGACATCATCATTGTACAAAAATTTTAGTGTATGAGTATTACACTATTCCCTAAGCCGAACAGAACCCGTACCCAAGTGAATCCCAGCATATTAGAGCCGGTGTCATTTTTAAATCCAACTTCAAGTTTTGAACTGTTTGGGTTTCTATTCGTTCGTATACAAAAGGCTATCTCACGTGAAAGAATTGTGGGTTTTTTTAATTTTATGGATAAAAGGCAAGCCCAAAACCATTTAATCAGTAAGCCCAAAACCATTTACTATACTATACTCATTTAAATTATAAAGTGCCCAGGAGGATTGATTTAGTAAGGATTGTTCCTTCCGGTAGAACAAAGGTTACATTCGAGTCCTGTTGCTCACACGCCCTCTTGGTGAGCAATTTGTGAAAACCATAAGGGGCTACCAACCCCTTTGTAAGTCCTCAAAGAAATTTATGGTAATGCCTTCACCCTAAGACAGGGTAGCCTTATCTCCCACTAAACTTGTACTCACCAAAAATGTTAAAGAGACGCATTTGAACATGAAACCTCGAGTGTAAAGACAAATGCTTTTTATGTTTTGATCTTTTTAATCATATGCTGACGACTTGACTTTGTTTGTTTGTTTTTGTTTTTGTTTTTTTATTTTTTTTGTTTTGTTTTTTTTGTTTTTTTTTGAAGCAGTTGACGACTGGACTTAGATGGTTATTATATTGCTACGTGTAGCTAGCGGTAGCTAAGTGTGAAACCAAACAATCATACAAGTCAATATTTTTTGGGTAATGCTTGTCTCTTTAGGAGTACTTGTCATTCACTTACGATTAATGAATATTTATTTTTCGAACATCATAATTGGAATTGTCTACTCTCTTAATCATTCAATTTGGATATCATTTAATCATCTATACATGCTAAATCGATCAACGATTTTGATACCAAGTAACACTATGAACTATCTATTTTTTCATGCATATGATTAGCTAAAAGATACTCTCCAGGTTGAATAACTTTTGCATGCATCATCTTTAGATAATGATAAAGAGAATGAATAGTTTTAATTATGATGTTCAGATAATATGTTCATTAACCATAAGTGGTAGGACAAATAAATCGTTATAGAGAACACAAGCATTATCTATAATTTTTATGTTAATTTGATGTTGTTGGTCCCTTTGTGGAGAAAATTTATTGGCTTTTTCCCATATATTAAACACCAAGACCATATCTTTGTGTGAACAAAATTTGAGCTCACTTCTTTGTTGTTTCTTGTTCTCTCTCTTTATTCTTTCCCTCGGTTCTTTCCTCTTTGTTCTTTGTTCTTTGTTCTTCGCTCTTTGTCCCTCGCTTTGTCTCTTTGTTCTTTCTTCTTTCTTCTTTGCCCTTGTTTTTGTGCTTTTTCCATATGTGTGTGAGACAAAATATTATATTTCTTTAAAAGATGTAACCGAGGTTTTTGTGTTTCTTACTCAATATTTTTATTGATGTCAATCATACAATCTAGGGTGAAATGTTATTTTAGTCTTTAAATTATTACTCGAGTGAAAATTAGATTTCTAAACTTTTTTTTTTTTTTTAGAAAAATCAGTCCTTAATTATACAAATGTGTCAATTACATCCTTAATATTATATTCGAAGCTACTATATTCAATTTTCCGTCAATTTAAGTCATGTTACTTGCATGTGATACACATTGGAGAGTAGATTGATACTTTTCATAAAGAAGTAATGTATGAAGTTAATTTTGAAGGTAAATTAGACGTTAGATTCGTAACTTATATTAAAATGTTAAGGGTTTTTAGGTGAGAAAATGATGGTATTATACTCTAGTGTGTCAAGTGACTTAAGTTGACGAAAAATTGGATAAAATAGCTTTGAATGTAATAACATCGATGAAATTAGCAATTTTTAATGAACTTAGGGACTTCATTTACCCAAAAAAAAATTCAAGAACTAAATCGGCACTTCATCCTTAATCTAATCAACTACTTTTTTTTTTTTTTTGTTCTTTTTAATAAAATTGATATTATATTATTGGTTTGAAAAATGGCACACCTTAAATTGGCATTTGAGTCCAAATATCAAGTCATAATCGAGCAACAATTTACGTTGCATGACTTAACACGAGTGTCTATTATTATTATGGGAACTGTTTTTTTGCTCATCGTCTGTTCACTTATATTATGACACTTAATGTACTAGATTGTGTTTCCGATACAATAAAAATCTCTCCTAGTAATGATGTTTTTCTAGCGTATTATATGATATGCCCTAAATATATAATTACTGCTGGTGTTGAAACGTGCAGTCCTTTGATCTTATCAACTCAAATGCTAGCTCTCTGCGTGCTATTCTCCCTCCACCTTGTAAACTGAAAACCTCGTCGTAGCTATTTAGGTAATCTCTTTTGCTCATCATCAGGGTCATTGAGTACATATATATTTGAGTTATTATGGAGAGAATCGTCAGTATAGAAACTTCAGATGGGGAGGACCCGGTAGCAAAGAAAATGGGCAGGTTCGTACTCTCTCTCTCTCTCAATCTCTCTTTAAAATATTTCAAATTCTGAACTTAGCATACTCCCTATCTGTCACCCTTATAGCATAGCAGTGCACCATTTGCACAATAAGGCGAGCAATCTGGCGTAGCAATAGGGAATCTTTGATAAGGCGTTGGGGATTCATTGAGAGTTCCAAAATACTATGTTTATTCTTATTTATTTGCAAAGCCCAAGTCCATCAAGCGTCAACCTTTGTTAGCCTCACCAGTTTTGAGCGTCAACATGTACAATCTTATGATGAGTAAGATGATGTCCATATCGCATTATATCTTAATCAAGATATCCCCAAAAGGTCGTGCCAAAACACAAAAGTGCTCAAATCACACGGCCTTCGGCCAGCCACACGGTGCACTTCATTTGGGGCAGCGAACCATCATCTTCAAAATATGCTTCGTGCTATATTCATTGGAGATGATGCGAAGATATTCTAGTTAATTTTCTCAATGGCGGTTTCAACATGATCATTGTCCTTTCAAATATCCTTAAAATCTCAACAACGTTCTTTCCGAACGAGAGAAGATAAGGGCCCCTCTAGAAGGTGGCCGATGCCCGGGCCTAGAAACAGGTTGGATGGACCAACTTGGTTGTCAGAAGAGTGATGTTAGGTATGGAGAGCATTCCACGCCAGTGTTTGCTCCAATGGTTTCTCAATTTCTCAATAGTCAAGTAGAACTTTATATCTTGGACCTATTTCAATTGGCGTCTTACAAGTGTGAAAATTAGCGCTATGTGAGTAAGACATCCATTGGCATCATTGTTAGAACATTCAATTTCTAATACATGATTAGTTTTAACAAATTAATCATAGAGCACATATGGTCTCATCATGAGTGGTGTGTTCTTAGAAACTCAAAAGGTTTCTATTGCATGCTCGAAACTTCTAACTCGAGACTGAAACATACCTGCATTCTCAATAGAAATACAAATAAACGATACATGCAACTCAATTGAAAAACACAAAAACAATATTGCACAATATAATCGACGGTTAAATCCAATTCAACTAAAGCGAATAGCTTCGAAGGTTAATATGCCTCAAAGCCACCATTGTCTTCTCGACAGTCGACATGGTCCAGGCGAAGGGAAAGAAAGAGAGCGCCACAAGTTCGTAAATAAAACTCCATTTTTCGCGGCAAAGACTGGGCCTGGGTGGTGGCTTTAGAAGCCACTAGGCCTGCAGCGTTGCTTGCTGCAACCTCACCAACATCGGCCTCGTCAAAATCGACGGTGGTGTGGTAAGTTCAATTGCACAATACCCAAATTCGGGAGAGATTTAGGATAATCTCACAATCTCGCCGACATCGAAGACGAGATTTTGGACATTCACGACGACCTGAAGTTGTCAGTGGCGTCGGGGAAAACCAGAGAGGCGGTGGGGCCTGGATCTATAGAAGAAGATCCAAACGACATGTCGTTTCATTTGGGCTCGTGGTGCTCGCGCGCCGGTGGGAGAAATAAAGCCCACGATGGGCTGGAAAATCCAAAGCCCAATCGCCGGGGGGAGGGGGGAATTTGTAGGTAATAGTAGTGCTTGTATTAAATAAATATAAGTATTTTAATTAATTTCGTAAAACTGTTGTTGAATTATTATTAGGGCACTACTTTTGATACTTCAAAATTTAATTGTGCATTTCTGATAAGAGTATCAATTTACGTTATGGATTTCATTTGTGGTTTGTTGCGTGTGTTCCAGAAAGGCTGGAGAAAGTTCAAAAGCAATATGGAACATGATATTTGCGATATCATGCGTATTTGCTGTCTCTCTGGATCCCTTGTTCTTTTACGTCATGATCATCGATCAGGATGACAAGTGCCTTCAAATGGACAAAACGTTGAGCATTGTTGCTTGTCTCACGCGATCACTCACGGATGTCATTTTCCTGGTTCATTTTATACTTGAAATTTATGACCGTGTTCAAAATCCAAAACCACAAACCCAAAAAAATGGGGGGAATTCAGATAAGAAATCGAAAATCAGAAAGTTGATTGATCATGTTTCCGTGAAAATAGCTCAGAAGATGCCATGGTTATCTGTCTTTACTGTAATAGGCTTTTTCGCTCTTCTTCCCCTCCCACAAGTAAGAGAAATTAACAAAACTCAACCTTTTTTTTTTTTTTTTTTTGGTTTTGTTTTGTGGCTGACTGGAATTGATGGACTTCTATGTTCTGAGTTCTAACCCTTTTTTATGTTTTGATTTTCTGCAGCTGCTAATAGGAATTATTTTTTACACAATGAAAGGCTCAGGATTTGTGGAACACAAAAACGTTCTGACTTTTTTTCTTCTCTGTCAATATTTTCCGAGGATTTATCGAATCTACCTATCGGCCAAGGATTTCAAAATGATTAATGGGAAGTGGATTAAGGGTCTATACAACATGTTTCTGTACATTCTTTCCAGCCACGTAAGTTTCACCTCAATTGGCATTTTGTTATAGTCCTTTGGTAATTATTAATGTTGGCTTACGAATGGAGTTTATTTTTTTTATTTTTTTTAATGTTAGACTAATTATCTGGGGTTTTGTGTTTGCATGTTATGTATTTAGGTACTCGGAGCTTTTTGGTATTTTTTTTCTATTCAACGAGAGTTAACATGTTGGCAAGAGGCTTGTGTAAATCATAGTAAAGATCCCAGAGCATGTTTGAATACTTTCAACTGTGATAGTCGAAGTACCATTGCAAGAAATATAACATTTCTAAATGAGCATTGCCCGTTAGATAATCCAAATGGTGCTTCATCTCCATTTAACTTTGGAATTTTTATTGATTCCCTTCAGAATCAAAACACAGAGCATATACTGTTCAGAAAAAAGTTTTTTTACTCTTTATGGTGGGGCCTACGAAATATAAGGTTCGTATTATATCATTGACAAAACAATTTTTAGAAAATATGTAACGAATAAATTTTTTTTTGGGTTATATAATTCAATAGTATTGTCTAATATGATATCATGTACCTTAATATTTTTGCAGTAATTTTGGGACTAATCTGACAACAAGTACATATGTGTGGGAAAACTTGTTTGCGATTTTCATTTCTATCGTTGGTTTGCTACTGTTTTTATATCTCATTGGAAACGTGCAGGTTGGTATATTCAATCTCTCTGTACATAAGCTTTCAACAATTTTCCCGTGTTTGGGACTGTATGCGGAGATCATTCTTCGAGTATATTAAGTAATTGTTTGATTTGCGGCGTGACAGACTTTTATGCAGATGGAAGCTACAAAAAAAGAGGAGATAAGACAAAAGATTAAGATGAAGAAGCTAGACGTACACGCTTGGATGTCCACAAATGAACTTCCTTATGATATAAGGGAAGAAATCTTGAGTAGCATAAAGCAAACATTGAAACAAAAAACATTGAAACAACACATTGACGCTGATCTCCATAATTTTCTGTTCTCCATTCTTCCCAGGAAAACCAAAACATCTTTGAAGCGTTGTCTTTGCATGAAAACACTTAAGAAAGTATGCTCAACCTCAATCTCTCACCATTAATTTATGGTATACTTTGTTTTTTAAAACAAAATGATGTTAACATTCAACGAATGAATTACAATAAAGATAAGAATGCTCTATAATCTTAAAGTTTATAGTCCAAAGTTATATAATAATGCTAAGTTAGTTAACAACACAGAATAATATTGTTATTACTTTAACTAGGTTAATTGCATCCATTTTCACTGCAATGTTGTTCTGATATATGTCTGCGCGCTTGCGCGTTCGTGTTTAGGTAAAAATACTTCAAGGCATGCATGACAAAGTGTTGACGTTGATGTGCGACTATCTGCAGCCAGTGACGTACATTGAGAACAGCAACATTTTTCGAATGGGAGATCCACTCGACTGCATGCTGATCATTATGGAAGGGACAGTGTGGACCTACGCGTCGAGTGATAGTCAACTTGGGCGAGGAAACTCATCAATGGGCACCATGCCCCTCCGGAAAGGTGACTTTTACGGGGAAGAGCTTTTCGATTGGGCACCAGGCAGTTTCGCCGAACTTCCAGTCTCCAGCAAACATGTCAAAACTCGGGTAAAAGTAGATGCATTCCTGCTCACGGCCCATGACTTGTATAGTGTAGTTTCCAAACACAGGCTACAGTGGAAGAAGGGTACTCAAACTCCAGCGGTGAAGTTCATGGCAGCTTCTACTATAGCAACAACATTCCGTCGTGGTCGTCGTCTCCGAGCTATAACCAAAGTATGTTCCTCCATCTCTCACCATTAATTTATGATATACATTGTTTTAAAACAAAATGACGTTAGCATTCTACATTTGATTTACAATAAAGATAAAATTGCACTATAATGTTAAAGTTTATAGTCCAAAGTTATATAATAATGCTAAGTTAGTTAACAACACAGATAAAATTGTTATTAATATAGCTAGGTTAATCGCATCCATTTATTAATTGCATCCGTTTTCACTGCAATGCTGTTCTGATAATATGTCTGTGTGCGCGAGCATGCGTTTAGGTAAAAAAGCTTCAAGACATGGATGACAAAATGTTGACGTCGATCTGCGACTATACAACGCAAGTGTCGTACAATGAGAACAGTTTTATTTTTCAAATGGGAGATCCAATCGACCGCATGCTGTTCATAATCGGAGGGATAGCGTGGACCTACACGTCGAGTGATGTTCAAGCTGAGCAAGGAATCCCATCAATGGCCCCCAAGCCTCTCCGGAAAGGTGACTTCTACGGGGAAGAGCTTCTCGATTGCGCATCAGACAGTTTCACCAAACTTCCAATCTCTAGCAAACATGTCAGATGTCAGACAAAAGTAGAAGCATTTGTGCTTATGGCCAAGGACTTGAAAACTGTAATTTCCAAGTACCCGCTACAGTGGGAGAAAAACGAGAAGAAGAGGGTTCTCAAGAGGTGAAGGACATGGCAGCTTCTACTACAGCAACAGCATACCGTCGTGCTCTCAAGCCTCTTCCATAGCGTTTTTGGAACGCTATAAAATGCTTTTGTATTATAACGTTTCTAAACCCCAAGTACTATTAGTTTTTTTTTAACAACCGACTGTATCTACACAAATGAGAGGGGCAAGGTTTAGCCCTAATTTGGTACTGAGGTGATTCTAAAAAAAGTGGCTATCAAAAAAAGCTGGGAGCTTTTTTATGTTTGGTAAACATTCAACTTCAACTTTTTTTTCACAGTTTTGGGTGAAAAAAAAGCCAAAAGCATAAAGCTGCAAAATCCAGTTTTGAAAAACTAGTTTTTTTTAACATCTGTTTTACATAAAAGTTTATCAAATACTATAATACTGTTTTTTTTTCAAAAGCACTTATTTCACAGCACAGTAAAAGCAGTTTTTTTTTTTCAAAGCACAGCAATATCAAACCAACCTTATCCTCACAATGAGCTAGCAATAATGTGATTCGAATTAGCCTTTGGCAAGAATCGAAGCTAAGACCTCTCACTTACAAGTGAAAAGGAATACCACTAGACCGTAGTACTAAGTGACTATTAGTTTTCTTTTAGAATGCTTAAATAAAATTATAACATGGCCTTTGGTTAAACTCAAAATTTTAAAGTTTTTTCTTTTAGTCAGGAAGAGAATCAACACATATACGAAATTAACTAAAGACTACATACACTTTTACTTTATCTAATATGAACTTAAAAACACGTTAAAAAGTAAAATCAGCACATTCAGGAAGGGCATCGAATACATGTGGCAACAAGGACAAACTTATACGTACGGTATATCTAGGAAACACAGAGGCCACAAAAGATGTTTAAAATTTCTAAAAAGGAAGAGAACAACCAACAAGGAATTGCACAACAAACACAGATATCCTCCTCGGCTAAACAGCCATCGGTTCACTCTGAAACATTATCTAATATCAGAGAGTATATCGACAACAAACCTAATGTATCTCTCAATATACGCGATCAATAATTACAGTCCAGCTAAACTTATTGTTACCAAACTCAAATATATTTTATCAAATTCATCATTGATTCTGGAAAACAAAGGTCCGAAATTTAAACGAAATAGCCAGAAACATGGACATCATCGAAGCTCCAGCGGTTGAAGAGCTTCACGTCAGGAGTAGCAACATCAGCAGCGGCCGTGGTTTCTGTATAACCCTAGTTGATTAAAACAGACTACAGAAATTTGATCACTATTTGGCAGTGCCTGCCGCAAATGTTCCAAATTTTGAACAATTTAATTAATTACGAGGCTCAACTCATATATTTATACAAATCAAGTTATAGAAAAAAGGGAAATATCCAGAAATATGACAGTTTCTTAATTTTAGGACAGAAATAGGACATTTCAAATATGCACACAGCATGCACAAAAGCCAAACACAAATAAGATTTTTTAACACCTTGAAATGACTTAATTACTCTTGTATATAAATGAGTTATTTGCTCCTATTTTCTGATTTCTCTCTCTACTCTCTCTCTCTCTCCTCTCACTTTCTCCCTCACGCACTCTCTCCCCTTCTCACTATGCACACACGGTGCACTGTCATTCCGACTAACACCATCCAAATCGAAGTCACCACCAATTTCATCTCATCCTCACAAGTCCAAAACACTTAGACTTGTCACAAATCTTATCCACGATCGTTGAGATTGAAACTCAAGCAGGCTACAAGTTTTTTGGTCATTTGTCGTCAACACGGCAAACAATCGAGGCTTGAGACCACCATCACTAGACTCTCATCGAGGGTGGGAACAAAGCACAGTCATTAAATGTTGGTGTTTTTTATGATAAATTTTTCAGGATTTGCCCATTGTATATGTACATGACCTACACATAATATGCTCATAGATATGAGTCAACCCAAAAACCCAGATGAGCTAATACTTAGAAGTTAAATTAGGGTTTGTGTTTCATATTGGGGCCTATGGATTGTGAAATAAATTTCAAATTTTTACGTGCTACAAAACTAGGATGGAACAATTTTTGGTTCAAGTGTCCAATTGCAGAAATTTGTGAAAATTTTTCTGTAATGTGCATACATATGGTGTGCACACTACAGAAAAATTTTGAGGCCTTGCCGTAAGATCCCACATCGCCCAGGAGAGTGATCCTTATATGTATCTTCCCATCCCTACCTAGCATGAGACTTTTTGTGAGCTCACTAGCTTCAGGTTCTATCGGAACTCCGAAGTTAAGCGAGTAGCGCGCGAGAGCATTCCCATGATGGGTGACCCACTGGGAAGTTCTCATGTGAATTCCCAGAAACAAATCCGTGAGGGTGTGCTAGGGATCCAAAGCGGACAATATCGTATTACGGTGGAGTCGGGTCCGGAATGTGGTCCCGCCCAGCCGGGATGTGACACTTGCCCATTTCATTCCCCTTTGGTAAACATCCCCTATTTCTTTGGATATCCACAATTAAATTTACATATATTCTGGACACTCAAGTAAATTTATAATATTTTAAAACTATCCCTACTTAATTATAAAAAAAACTTAAATGAGCACACCTCAACCGTGAATCCAAGCCAAAATCCCCACCCCACCTTTCTCCTCCTCTTGTTCCTCTGCTTCTGCCTCTCCTCATTCTTCTACAAAAACATCAAATCTCAGTTTCCACAAACATCAGTACTATCAAAATTGATGGCAAAAGCTAAGTAGACCCATTGCACAAAAAAATTTGAGAAACAATGGTTTTTCTTTTTTAATTATTATAAGCTAAAGCACCACCCAAAGTAGTAGGAAAATGGTTGTTAGCAAATCCGCCGATTTGATGGTGGAAGGTGCACTGGTCACCATTATTCGGTGAAGAGTTCAAAAAAGAGAAGAGATAACGAATGAAGTTTATGGGTGGCTTTGCACCCGAGAGAGTGTGAGTTGGATGGTGGCTGCAACTCCCTAAAACGATCTGGCTCCAAAATTTAACCTTTTATTTTTAAAATGCGGAGAATTATTCCCTAATACAATGGTTATTCAAATAAGAAAAACTTACGGGCATCCAGAGATGAAAAAATGATTGTACAAAGAACCACTGAATAGTTTTTGTTATAACGGAAAGCACTAAACGCTTTATCTATCATAAACCTAATTAAATTTCTAAAACAATCGTTATGTTATTGTTATTAACACACCAAAAGAGTTAAATACGCCATTGTGCTATTGTTAGTAGCACACCAAAACAATCATAAGTCATTATTTTATTGTTATTAGAATGTCAAAACATTTATCCTAAATTCGTCAATTCCTTATATTTTTTGTTACGAAAGAGTGAGTGATGATTTTTTTTTTTTTTTTTTTTTGGCATGTCAATATCAAGCACCTGAAATAGTCGAAATTTCAAGTACAACAATATCTTAGAAGTCTGATTCATAATTATAATTATCATCCACGGTAAATTTCCAATAACATAATGTCGAATGGCTATATAATTATCATCCACAAATAATTATTGGAGTAAGTGCTCAGGAACCCCATCTACACACAAATAAACCTAAATCCCACCAATGCCTTTGAAGGGAGAGCTCAAGAACCCCCCATCTACACACTTAACAAATTACCTATTCTCTAACCGATGTCGCTACTAGTAACTACTCGCCGATTTGTCTTGCCGGTGTTGAAGATTCACGTAGTGCACTCACCTCCCTCCTCAAGAAAGGAGGCAACGCAAAGGCAGCTGAGTGCATCTGCCAAACAAACGACGATGTTATTTTGCTTTACAAGTATATCCAAAGCAAAAGAAATGGATGCAAATATAGTAGATTACCATGTAAAAAGAATCCTACCTCGGAGTTATAGAACTTAAGTTCTCTCTTATGTTTGAGAGCTCCTTCTAACTTCTCAACAGAATTGACGGGATTTTTGAAATCAACGGGAGGCCCCGCTGTTGAGCACAACAGAAAACCTATCACACCACTGCACAAGAAGTAATCTCACAAGTAAGAATAATTTCATGACATCAACCCGGTCTTAAGAAGGATCAAGAATCAGCAGTTAAGCGAGGTGTTTAGTCTAGTCATTGTCAATGCATAAATAATACAAGTTCACAAAGAAACTCAAAACTTCTTTGCCATATTAAAAAAAAACATATATATATATATAGAGAGGTTGAGAGCGAGAGTAGATTAATGCGTGAAGAGGAAAGTATTACCTTGGATACGTAGGAACACTCGCCCAAGCATAATTGACAGACCCCTTGAATATTTGACAGCAAACAGAGATCATATCTTGAATAAGATGCGTATGGAGCCACATGCTCTCTGTCATATTACAGAGAACACCACCAGGCCTTAATGCTCTAGCTATTGTCTCAAAAAATGGCTTCTCTACAAGCTCTTGGGCTGGACCTGCATCCAAAGGAAACCATACGTTTAAGCACTAGATTTAGAACCTTATTATAGGGGGCACACAAAATAGAGAGTAACGAGAAACAAACATGTCCTCCTGTAAGATTTATACGAACAACAGCTCAAAGACATCTCTGTATGCTCACAAATCAATACGACAAAAATTTGAAGTCAGCCAGCCCAAAAATGCATGGCAAAACTATTGTAAAGAGAAAAATCATACCGACAGGGTCTGACGAATCAACAATTACAGCATCATACTTCCCTTCAGGTGCAAGCCTTAAGAATTCAGTAGCTGACATGCATTTAAAATGAGATATAATGGGACAGCCAGCCAAATACAAAGTCAATTCGATTTTACCAATTGGATCAACAAATAGTAAGTATTAAACCAACCATCAGCGACATGAAGGTGGACGCGAGGATCCTGAAATCCAACGGCTAACTGAGGGAAAAACTTCTCGGACACCTACAAAAAGTCAATCAAAAGAAAACAGATAGTCAGCTCAAATTCTTAACAATCAAATACACAAAGGAGTACTTACACCACTTACATCTATAACCATCTTATCTATCTCACATATATCAATATGCTCAACCGAAGGATGGCGAGAAACCTCCCTAAGAACCCCACCATCACCACCACCAACAACCAGAACCTGCATCGAAAATCACATAGCACTTAGCACTGTCGCTGCAATAAGAAAACAATAACAACTTTATGAGGGCATAAATGCCTTCTCATTTTTATCACTTCTAATTTCTATCACTATATTCAAGCACAAAAGTAGACCCAACAGCAATCACCAGCCTGTAACCAAGTCAAAATATTATAAAGATGTGGGCTTTTAAATTTCATAATAACACCATTCCACATTCCACATTCTATTCTCTGCCAACTAGGGAAGCTGGTTCATAGTGCAAATGGTCATCTACAGGATAACTTCAGCCAAATCCGAAGTTTGGCAGAGCAGTACCATTGTGCAGATATGGTTACAAAATCATTGCATCCAAGTCAAGCCAAAATGAGGCAGAATAATACAATTTTATGAGCTAAACACCATATGTGATGCCTAGCTGGTAACGAACAAGGGATCCCTAAATGATGTTCAGATAGCCTTTGCAATTCATACTACGATCAGCAACATGACCATGAGCTCATGTATTCGGGTTCTGCTCAATATTGCAGTGAAAACCATCTTAAGCTTTCAGAGAATATGCAAAAGAAAAGTGCATGAAGAACATTCAAACTCTATTCAAATCCCAGATAAAGTGTTTCACTTTTTGAAATCAATGCAAAAAATTGATTTCAATCTAGTTATACCATGTGTTCTCATGGTCATGGGTGGTCGTGATCAAGAGATCAAGAGATTCAGCAGACTTTACACACACACACAACAAAAAACATGAGGGAGGGATGGATCATGTATAATTACTCTCTTGGGGGAGGAAATTGAACAAAGAGGTAGATGTGCTATCATCTCCTGGTATGCACATTCATCTTTCTCACTCAGCTGGATAATGCCATCAAGAACAAGCACTTTCCCATATATCGAGGACTGCATAAAAAGGAATTCATAAATAAGATTTAGAAAAGGAATGCAAGGGAGATAAACAAGCAAATTAAACTGTCTTAAAAATGACAAACCTCAAACACCAAAATCTCTTGGAACTCTGATTTTCCCCTATACAGAATATTTTCTACTTTCAGTGAATGAGCTTCACCTGAAAAAAAATAATAACAAAAATGAAAACCTTCAACACAAATACATGCAGAAAAACTCTCAAGTTAGAGGTGTGAAATTTCACAAAGGAGTATTCCGATTAGAAGCAATAATTGTAAAAGAAGCACCCCTTACTATGAATAGTGAGAAAAAGAAGAGAAGAAAAAAAAAACAATTACCAAAAGCTTCAAAAAGTTACAAATGAAATCAGATCATGGAGTTGCTAATACAAGATATCACTGAAGCAAGAAAAACTACTCTGTTCGTTTTATCTTTCCCTCATTACATGAAAACAGTGTAAATTTGACAGAGCGGTCCTCTAATGGACAAGTTTTCCTAAAGTTATACTGAGAATGAAAGATCACAAAATAAGCAAGAGATCATGTCCAGCAATAAAACTTAGCAACCTCAGTAAAGAACACAAGAAAGGGATCTTGATCCAGAAGTGAAAAATGAAGCATGCATTGTGTGGTATATAAAGAAACTACAATTGTGAACACAAAATGTGTGGATGCATACAAGTGCATACCTGGCCACATAGGGTTGTTGAAATAAACCTTTTTACAATCCTTCTCTGCAATTACAAAAAAGAAAAGAAAAGAAACGAGTCAATTACAAACAACCAACAAGAAGTCAATTTACAAAAGCGAAAAATCATAGATAATGACCAGAGCGAGACTGGGATTCTGAGAACCACCCAGAAACAACAGTGGAATGACATTTTGCCTCGGCCTCAGGGGTAGAAGACATAGCCTTCACGCAACAAGAAGGGATGGCCTTCTCCGAACCATTCCCGTTACTCGCCTTCCCATCCATAGTCTTCTGGCATTCCAAACCTCTTCCTGCGCCGTCCTCCATATATTATCTTCTTCTTCTCCGTCTCCAGTCTCTAACAATCAATACATACTCATAAGTAACATATAGCAGAAATAATACATTCACTATAAAAACCATCTTTCAGAATCAAAAAACGATTCTTCAGGCACAGCACAACACACTCATGTTGCACCAAGTTAAAGCATCTATCTTAAACAATCAGATTAAAACAAACAAAGTTAAACTAATGAAATACCAGAAGAACTATCACAAAAACGATCCCAAGCAAAAGGGTTTAAGTAACAGCATCCGGAATAAACATATGAAAAAGTTTAAAACTTTTCGTTTAAGTAAGCTAGATTTGCACTTAAAATCTTCCTGTTAAAGCAAAAGGGTTTAAGTTAATCACAATCTTCAATCAATGCAAGATCTTTTCCATTTCAACACCTTAATTGAACAAAAGCATATCAAACTAAATCAAATCCCTAAGTTATCTACAAAAGCTATTAATCTACTAATTAAACCATGAATTTATATCACACAGTAAGACAGAGGTTACACCTCCCACCCCAAATAATGAAAGACCAATCTGAGTCTATTTAATTCATTTACTGGGTCCCAAACAGTTTTTAAATTTTAAATGTTCCAGTCAAACGCCGCAGAGTTAAGTCCTAACCACCTCGTACCTAATACGAAATAAAGAAGTATTACCAACCCAGAAAATCCCAAAAACACAAAACTTCAAAAATCGGATCCTCTGTACCAACAAGTACCAAAAGCGCAAAAAATGGGAAATTTAAAAAATAAATAAACAAATTTGATATATTCATTGCACGAACAAAGAAAGTAAAAAGTATATTTTCGATTTTCTCGGCCACAATTTTCCCGGGAAACAAACAAAAGTCCAGGGCTTTAAGCCATTAACAAAAGAGCGTTCCCAAAAGCGAAGCCGGAGATAGTGAACACCACTCTATTTGTCCAAATTAGGAAATTAACTTAAAAAATAAAAAATCGGAAAATAAAATCAAAAGAACCCATCTTTTCTTCAGAACTTGCAGAGCGGCAAAGATTAAAATTAAGGAATGAGAAAACGTACAGCGGGTAGATACAGATGTAGGGAGAGAAGCAGAAACCTAGAGATATAGATGCACAGAGAGAAAGAGAAGGGTTGATCTTGCCTGGGTTGATCACAAATTGGGTTTTCGTGGCGCTAGTGAGAAACGAAAATTAGTACGAACTGGGTAAATAGTCACACTCGCAGTCTCTCTCTCTCTCTCAATGAGAAGTCTGTCGATAAATCTTTGCTCTGCCTCTCTCTGGTTCTCTCTGCTGCTCCAATTCGGTTCGCACGAGAACGCCTATGGAGACCAAGAATTTATAGTACTTTTTATTTATAATATTTTATTTTATTTTTGCAACGTGAAAGGATAAATCAGTTTTAAATTCAATTGGGGGAACGAATTTACGGATACGAATAAAGGCAGCCCTTTTATCATTAATGAGGAATTTTGTAATGTGCGGATAATATAGTCTGATACGTTAAGTATCAGAATATAATTGGTAGATTTTTTTTTTAATTTTTAACTAATTATATTCCTAGATTTGGTGCGTTGGATCGTATTTCAACTAAGTATGTGTCGAGGTAAAATTCTCATTAGGAACTAATGACAATCTTCGTTATAGTCATTAGGGACTGAACTGTATTAGTAGGTAGTGTCCTTTTTGGCTGTAGAGGTCATTTGGAATCATCACTTGAGAGCTTCAACTTTGGGTCTCTAGTTTGGACCCGGCTTTTTTGCCTTCTCAGTTTTCACACACTTTCATGATCTCTTATTTTGTGCGATCACAATTAAGTTTTATAGAGATAATAAGATAAAAAATAATAGTGATATAAAATATTGACGTGGTTTAACCGTAATCACATAAATAAGAGAGGATGAGAATGTATAAGAACTGGAAGGGCAAGGTGTATTGGTAGGTAGTGTCCTTTTTGGCTGTAGAGGTCATTTAGAATCATCACTTCAGAGCTTCAATTTTGGGTCTCTAGTTTTTGATTGGGTAGTCACCTCAATCTTTTGCTTTAAGAAGGTACGAGTGAAATCTGCGGATATTATTTCATTAATTTTCCTTTTTATCAAAAGACATTCACAATTTTAAGGGAATGGGAGGAGATCCCCTTGTCAAGCTCATAACTGTAGATCGGTTCAAAGTTGATAAAATCATAAATAGGTTCGCACTGCATCCCTGGTGCCTTGTCCAGTCGAAGCCGGAAAGAAGTTTCCATTTGTAAGTTGTACTAGTCTTCAATCTCCAGGTTATAATTTGGTACTTTACTATGCCACTGAGAAACCTCCAAATCCAAATTCTTCATTTGCTAAGTTTGTAAATGGAAGTGACATGTTTTGCAATAAAAGATTAAAGTTAATTTCAAGTATTGTTGAAGGATATTGAACAGTTAAGCCCACGTGATTTCGGAACAAAAAATTGCCTACAGTGGAAGGTGGTATTGTGTAATATTTGAAAACCATCGCTGCAATGACGAGAAAGAAAGGTAGGAGTGCATGGTGGGAGGCGTGAGCGAAGATCTTATTTTTTTTTATTCTCTAGTTTTTATTATTAAATAAAGGTATTACATGGTTTTTATTTGTTAAAATGTAAAGTTTTGAAGTTTTTTTTAGGGTAAATTATATTATACCATTTCAGATTTGAGGTCTATTGCAATCACATACAACATCTTTAAAACATTTCATTTTCATACCTCAAGTATTATTTTATTTCAATATAATACATCTGTTACATTTTCCATCTATTGATCCGTTAAGAGCTGACGTGACTGTCACATTTGTGTCACGTGGCAAAAAAAATATTTTTTTTATGAAATAAAAATATTTTAATAATTTATGAAGAGAGCGGAGGTAGTTAGGGAAATGGGTACTGGGTTTTCAGTTTTTTTTTTTTTTTTTTTTTTTATTTTTAAATAAGGTAAATTATTATAATATTTTTAATGTATAAAAAATTATTTTTCTGCCACGTGGCACAAATGTGCAGCCACGTCAGCTCTTAACGGATCAATGGATGAAAAATGTAACGGATGTATTATATTGAAATAAAATAGTACTTAAGGTATGAAAATAAAATGTTTTGAAGATGTTGTATGAGGTTGCAATAAATCTCAAACCTGAGGTGGTAAAATATGGTTTATCCTTTTTTATTATTAGTTTTTCTAAATTAATAAGAGATGTGTGAGAAGTAAAAAAAAAAAAAAAATATGGATATCACACTCTTGTATATAAACTTGTGGTTAACGCTGATCATGAGGTCGAATCTGTCGTAAAATATCCATAAACTTGCCGAAAAAGACACAGAGATTTCTCATTCAACCTTCCAGATCGTGTTAAACATGTCGAGTCCACATCCTCATACATCAATCTCAAACCCCGATCATAAATGGTAAATGTGTCGGCACTCTGGACTCTAGCTAGCTTTTGATTCATGCAGTACTGTCTCACGACGTCCTGTTGTTGGGCTGTTTCCTTCAATGATTCAGTGGCTAAAATCAAAGGGAAACCCGCCACAGCACAGAACAGCAGATTTATCCATGCATGCCTTCAGTTTCAGCTTTTCGTATAAAGGAAGCTATGCACACAGCTCCTTAATTGACAAATAATGAGTGGTTTTGGTTGCTCACTTTTCTTACAGTGGGTGCTACTGCTGGGCATAAAAACAAAGAAAAGAAAAGAAAAGAAAACAAAGAAACTCCATGTGCTTCTTACTTTGGTACGTGCTAAAGAACCATTCGATTGAGCTGGAAAGACACTAATTAAGGTTTTATAAAAAAGAAAATGGTGATGCGAGAGATATCGTTTTTTTAGACTATATTTTGTAGACTCCATGATGTTATGAGTGGTAGATTTTTTTTTTTATATTATTAAAAAATATATAAACAACGAATGTCATATCATTTTATTTATAAAACTTGTCTAAATAATTGGTCTGGCTTGTATTTTTCAAAAGAAAAAGTTGATTGTTTGTTTATTTAAGTTATAGCTGTCAAAGTTTTGGTGGTCTCTTTCACGGATCAATTCCAATTTCGGATACACGTTTATCTTTCGAAATATGTCCTTGTCAATTTGGGTTTCGATTCCGTTTAGAACGAACAATGGTGGTTGGATTTCAACACGTGTATTAGGAAAAGCACCGGTCGAATTTATAACAAGAATGATAAATAAAGATCTCATTTTTTAGTATAGAGAGCAATTTTCACGATACGTGTAAATCGTTATTGTAGCGTTTCGTGTCAATTATATCTTATTATGTCTCTTAAAGAGGTTTTGGACCATTGCAGTTTTCTTCAATGGAATTGAATCTCGGTGACAATATTGCACGGACTAGGATTCACTCTCATTTTCTTTTCATATTTTTCCCTCTCCTCCTCTCACATTCTCTATTTTATCTTTCTTTTTTTTATATATATAATTAATATAATATGTTGACGTTGCTTAACTGTGACCGTTCAAATAAGAGGAGAGGGAAGGGAAGAAAAAAAAAAAAGAAGGAAGAGAAACATATTCCATATTGCACACATGCTGTAAAAGTCTTTCTCAAATGTATGTCCAATGATACCCCTTTATGGAGAAAGAAATATAAGATAATAAAAAAATTTATAGAATTAACCATTTAATATTACGGTGTATTGATATTTTTATTTACTTATAAGTGAAAGGTTTTATGTTTGATTCTCGCCAAATGCAAATTTGAATCATATTATTACTAGTCTATTATGAGACTTAATCCGCTCGTCTATCCTTTAATGTAGATAATATTGTTGAAAAAAATTAAAGGACTATAACAATGGACTACAATAAACCATTAAGGTCTCGTTTGGCAGCTCAGACTGTATTGATTATTTTTGTCGAATAGGATAAATAGCCACCGGATAGTACTGACTAAATTAATCGGGCGTTTGGTGCAGTATCGGACTAATGACCGTATTATTTATATTGTATTTAGTATTATACTGGATAGGAGGAATCAAACTTAAAATAAAATTAAAAAAAAAAAAAAAAAAAACTGAAATCATCTCTTTTGTTCTCAGATCTCTCCGTTGCACCCTACAAACTCTCTCCCTCCCTCCCTCTCCTTCTTCTTCTTCCCTGACTGCTCAAGATTGTTCCCCAGACATCCCTCCTCCCTCTCCTTCTCTCTCCTGAAATCCTAATTGTTCCCCAAATCTCTCTGCCACACCCCCCAAACTCTCTCCCTCTTTCTCCTTTCTTCTTCTTCCCAACTGTAGAAGATCCCAAATTGAAATCATCTCTCTGCCCGCACCATGTTTCCTTGCAAGACCCAGTTGCAGGGGAGGACAGCAAGTAAGCGATGAGGAAAGCCACAAGGAGAGGACGACGTGGACTAGGAGAGCAGAGATGGCGAGAAAAAGCGACGGCAAGAGAAGGCAACGGGGAGGATGGCGATGGCGAGAGAAGGTGATGAGAAGGACAACGACGTCGAGAGAAAGGGCGAGAGGGAGGGCCAAGTTCACGAGAGAAGAGAGCAAAACCGACTAATATTCCGAGCCTTTTGGTTGGTTTTATTAAGCAGGCGTATATCGTGTTAAATAAGTAGACGGGTTAAATTAATTTGACGCTTATTTAATATGAGTGAACGTCAAACACCCGAGTCTGTATAAGTAGTCATATCCAATCTTTATCCAATATGGCCAAGAAAGGCCTAAAAGGAGGGCATCCATGACACGTTTTATCATAAGTCTAGAATAAATTTACAACCTCGGGCCCTCAAAAGGACTTTCCATTGGAAAAGCTAGATCCGCAATGATGGCCATATTCCCCCCTTAATTACGTGATTAGCACTCCCCAACCTTTCGTAACCTGCAATTGAATTGACGCGGCAACTATCGGTCTTAATACGGAATCACCGAGTCATATATTTTAGAATAGTATTATTCACGTATACATTTTTATTTTTCATATATTTTTATATTTTCATTTGCTGAATCAATAAATTGAAAAAAATTATTAATAAATATTAACAAGAAAGTGTAAGTGACAAAAAATAGGTGCGTGAATAGTTATCCTGGTATGTCTTCTGGTGGATGGCATGCCATAGTAAATATATGGGAAGGGGTGTGCACATATTGTAATGTAAACAATCATGCATGTAAAGTTAACGTAAGTTCATAACATCATCTTTTCAAAAGGTAAGGGAGTATAGTTTCTCTCACAGCTCGTGATCGTAACCAAAGTTGATATTTCAGATATATTTTTGGTTACCATTTTTGCAGATCGAATAACGAAATACCCTCTCAATTCTCAACTACGGCTATTATTAAATTAAAGAACGATAAATTACGTTGAATATTTAATCAGAAATCGTTATTTGCATTTTAAAATTTTCATTGTTCATTTCTAACAGTTTATATTAAAAAATAAATATACATTTATAAAAAATACATAATGATTTTGGTGTGCCAATTATAACTCCTTAACATTATAAAACTTAGTATTTTTTATTTATTTATGGGTTAAGTATAAAAAGCAACCCAACAATTTCAGTAATTTTAAATTAACCTCAACTTTTAAAAATATTCCAAATATCGAATATTTTAAAAATTTGACATCTGATAAGTCACCAGTAGACTTCTACCAACATTAGGCAAATTGCCCCCTTTTTTTATATTCCAGGATCTACCAAAGGGTTTATTTACACTTTCTTAGTATCCCATTAATTGAAACAGCACACATTCTAAGATTATATCGAATTAATATTGGAGTTATGACCAAGATTAATATTGGAGTAATGAAATAGCCAAGAATGACCAAGATATACGACAATTAACTCGCTACAGTTAACTGGGTTTTGTGAGGTCGACCACAATCACGCTAATGTTATCTCTGCTTCCCCGAGCCATAGCTAGGTCAGCTAGACTGCTGCTGCCTCAGATGTGCGACTTCCGACATTTAGGAGAACACGATGTTCGTCGTGAATGGATACTCTCCTCATTCGGCCACGAAGACACTTGTTCACAACCTGACATGCTACGTCGTTTGATATAACATCCCACAGCCCGTCACTGGCAAGGATGAGGAATTCATCCTGGTCGGTTCGCCTGGTCACCGTCACCTCTGGTTTTGATATCACATACGGCCTCAGGTAATGGTCACCTGCACCCCCAATCAATTTCAAACATCACCAAATCAGTGAAATGTACTAGCAATATTCCAAATTAATCCAAAAGGGGATCCGTTTGAAAATTAAATCAACCAACCTAATGCAAGTGAATTGAGTTTGCACAAAACCGAGTGCAGTAGCGTTCTAAGATTCATACAGCCGACCACTTCAGTGAGATAAAGTTTTGTTGTTGTAACCTAATGCAGGTGAATGTTAATTTACAACTGTTTAATAAAGGTAACTTTGGTCGTTCACTTGAATTAGGCTCCTCGATTTGCTTTGTCTAATCACCAGGATTTAATTTGGCCCGAGATGCCTAGTGATTTTATTTGTAACGCCGTTACTGAAAGATTTAGAGTTTATGCCCCGCCGATCGTATAATGTACGTACCTATTGATCTAGAAGTGGCAAGCACCCCAAGTACACGGCTTCCGTTCCAGTTGATGACTCTCCCACCTGCAGCTTCAATTCTCTTCAACTCATCCACTCTGTCCGGCTTATATATGCACGTAGAAATTAAAAACCATTGTATCAACAAAATAATAAATGTACTCAGCAAGCGGAATTAAATTTTAAAGCAGCGATGAATGTGTTTAGGTGAACTTAATAATAAAGTACATAGAGCTCTACTGGATAAATTTTTCAGTATTACGGTAAGTATTAAAACATAAATACATGTAATAAATAGTGAGTATTAAAACATAAATACATGTAATACAAATTACTTGGTTGCGCAAGAGACTTGTAGCTTAAACAATTAAGAGCATAAATTCATCCTTACACCTGAAATCGTGTGTTCAATTCCCTTATCTCCAATTGTTTGTACACACATTAAATGGTGAAAAAAATTTAACTCTCACCAATGGACTCTCTATATGAACTCCTAGTCAAATATGAGCAGACGTTGAAAATTTTCATCTCCAATCTCTTGATCTCCTAAATTTAAAAAGTGAGAAAGGAGCTCATCACATTATTGTTGTTTTAATAATATTTTAAATGAAAAACTTTATTCCTATTGGTTCACAATTATTAATTATTATATGACTCCCTCGATTAAAGAGGGTGATTGAAGTAAATTTTTTTCAGGAAGCCTTTAAATAACTTTAGTGCTTTTTGTTAGATTTTGACTTGAAAGTACTGATTACTTTGTCTAATATTGAGACTACCTGCATCACATATCTCTAGCCAAAAAGTTCAAACAATACAGCTTTATATGCTCATTTTAAAGTTATTTTAAAATTATTATATTACAAATGCACTTGAGAGTGCTTCATGCACCATGCGATGGACTTATTGCAAAAAACACGAGTTATGTGATGCGTAAGAAGCACGTCAAGTATTTTTTTCATGATTCACTTATATTTTTATTAAAAATTTATGAGATTTTTGAACTTTAATCCTTGAAGAATATTAAAATTCAATAAAAACCTAATGTTTAATTCGATATTGATTTTAGTCCTCTAATATGTACTTAACTTATTTTAAAATTATTATATTACAAATGCGAGTTATATGATGCATAAGAAGCAAGCCTTTTTTTTTCATGATTCACTTATATTTTTATTAAAAAGTTAGATTTTTGAACTTTAATCCTTGAACAAGATTAAAATTCAATAAAAACCTGATGTTTGATTGGATATTGATTTTAGTACTCTAATGTGTACTTACTTCAAATTTATATAATATTTTTATTTTAATATTTAATAAATATCTTATTTAATGTCATTCTATTAAAATTATTTATTATTATATACATTTTAATTCATTATATTTAATTTACTTTCTCTAATTCGGGTACCTAAACATCCGTATTATAATATATTTTACTAAATTAATGTACCGAAATATCCGTATCTAAATATATTATAGTTAATTAATGTCATATAAGAAAATATTCAAAAATATAAGTATACCGTAAAATTCCGTACCTAAATATATGATAATAAGCTAATGTATAAAAATGTTTGTACCTAAACATATTATACTAACCTAATGTAACGAAACATTCATACCTAAATATATTGTAATGAATTAATGTCACATAAAAAAATATGCAAAAACATGTATACCAAAAAATATTTAAGAAAATATTTTCTCATATAAGATACTTACCACAATGAGATTTAAAATTTATAATATTTTCATAAAATTTAATTCATAAACATCATATAATTATAAATAAATAAAACATTTAATATACTAGCATTAAATAGAGTACAAGGAATAAAATCAATTTTAAATCTTGTATAAGATATTTTTCTAAACTTCATCTTATTTAGGGATTAAAATCTAGTTTTTAAAAAATTTATTTCAAAAATATTTTCATCTAAAACACTTTAACAAACTCTTCCAAACGAGCTATATTTTCTATCTTTCTTTTCAATTTTATAGTCAATATTATGCAATATTTCCTCTCAACAAGGCATCCTATCTTGCAAAATATACACTGGAATGTGAATTTATACTAATTTCAAAATATGGAACAGAATTGTTGCCGTGAGTTGTACATCTTTTTGGGCTAATTTACTGACACTAATCAGTTTTTTTTTATATTTTTATTTTTTTATTTTTTTGTGTTGGATACTAATTAGTTAAATGTACGATGCATATAGTCACAACAAAGCAGTTAAATCAATGAAAATAAACTACAATGTCATCGTTGTGACAGATACATACATAAAGTTTGGTAACTACGCACCTTATGGTCATTGGACAAGGCCAAGGCAACACCACCTCTCGACAAAACAGCCCTAGAATCGCCACAATTGGCCACCACCACCTGCTCCTCCGTCACCAACGCCACCACCGCTGTCGCCCCAACTGTCCTTGCCGCTGCAATATCACTCACCTCCCCATCCATTTTCTCAAAACACCCCTCCATCACCGTCTCCCAATCAATCGCATCACCTTTAGTCCCTTCCTTTTCCACCGCCTCCGCCACCACCTCATGCATCCTCTCCCTACAAGCCCCGGCCACGTCAGGCCCACCGTGCCCGTCATACACCCCGTAAAAGTCAAACTTCCCAAACCCTACCTCCGCTGTCACTGCATCTTCCATCTCCTTCCTCATCCCCTTCACCGAGACGATGCCACACCCTCCCCTCTCTTCCGAACCCTCACCACTCCTTTTCTCTCCGCCTTCATCTGATCCGGTCACGGATCCACTAGACAACACGACGTCATTTTTCGATGCTGAAAATGACACCGACAATATCTCCATTGAACTCCCAACATCTTTCTCTCGTTCCTTCAACTCCAATGTCTTGCAATCTTCGGAAGCATGTTTCTGGCCGCTGCCGCCGGTGATCTGCACCTGGATCTTCTTCGCCTGACACGTGTATTTCAGTCGTCGGACTCTGAGTCGCTGTCGCCGGGCATTCTTGGTTTCGATGACGAAGCTCTGTCGTCTCATCTTTCCATTCATTCCCCCAACCTGAAGGTGAAGGGCTTCTTTTAAATTAGATGAAAAAGCTGAGAGGCGTAAACGAGCTTCAAATCTCAGCCGTTGATTTTATCACCGCAGACGGATGATCGCCAGGCATGCATTGTGCGGACCACTGGCTTTGATTTTTTGAGAGAGACGTGGACGGTTTTGATGCGATCCTGGACACGTGGAACGATGGACGTGCCGCTAGTGATTCTGTATTGGTAGGAGATCTTTTGGTGCAGTGCGGGGCCTACCCTCTGTCGCTAGAAAAGGTGTACGTGGCGAGTCGTGAGGGGATGGGGTGGTGCCTCTCGTTTACTTTTCTTTTCTATGTTTTTGGCTCGCTGACAAGGATGTTGACTTGTGGAAAAATGTAGCAACACGTGTCCTCGTTAGATCTCGTTCCTTGTGTCGTTGCCGATTGTCGTGCACCGGTTTCTTTGGTTTGAAATAATTTGGAATTGGATCCAGGATTCTCTCTCCTGAGCAGAGATTAGGTGTCGAGTTAATAGGTCAGGAGATCCGATCCTGCTCAAGAGAATATCCAATTCCAAATAGTACCATGTTTTTGGTTAAATAAGGGGTTTAAACAACCAAAACAAAAATAAGAAATAACGCGAGAACAAACAAAACGAGTCATGGAGATTCTTGAGCACTTCTCTATAAACACGATCCAAATCCACATAGCAGTATCACGAAAAATAAGATACATATTGTAGCTCCCACTATCTAAATAATCAGCATAAGATTTTTTTTTTTTCGAAAAGTGTGATGGTCAAAGATTTCAATATTCTATTTCTTTAGCGGCTCTATGAGCACAAGATTTATTCATGGTGGATCCTCCATTGTTAACCCAATTTTTATATATAAACTCATCAAAATTATTATGCCTAATTAAGTCACATTGCCTCTAAGCGAAAAGGCCTATGCTGGGGTTTAGGGAGGTTATTAGACTTGAGATAAATTAAAGAAGCTATCCAAGGTTTTGTCGAGCCTACTCATGTGGTACCTAATCATATAGTATCTAAACTAAGTAAATAGTAGTGAGACTTAGTTTTAGGGAGGTGGTGCGCCTCAAGGTGAAAAGGCCTATGTTGGGATTTGGGGAGGTGATTAGACTTGAGACAAATTTTGAGACGATAGTGGTGAGACTTTGTTTTAGAGAGGTGGTGCACATATGCCTCTGAAAAAATATTCCTCCAAGCCAGATTACAAACACCTTTATCAATTCCCTCAAGTGTTGGAATCAAATGAATCTCGGCCCTCGATCTTGGATTAGCCAATGGAAAATGAGTTTGAGGATCATGCGATCGTGATCGTTCATCATACATCGTACGGTTAGAAATCTTTTAAAATTTAAAATTTAAAATTAAATATAAATAGTACATAATGAAAACTGACCGCACAATGTACGATGAACAGTCACGATCACGAGATCCCGAAGAAAATGATCCTTTTCCTTAGCCAGCAAGGAAGCCTAAGAGTCCAACGGCTAGTTTGCTTTTAAAATGCAAAATAGGTTAGGTGATGAAGTGTTATCTTATAACCACCTGTAAGGCTTAGATTAGAGAGTGTGTTGTAAGGCTTGGATTGAATTAACAGTTATTAGTGTATTTGAACAGCTTGTTGATAAGCTTGTACTACACCAATGGAGGAATCCAATGTGAATGAATCAATGACATCATCACCGCAGTAGCCGCAACGTTTTGCATTGTACATTCTTTGATAATTCATTTGTGACTCGACAATTTCTTCTTGTTACAACCAACAATTTCTTGGTTGAATTTAACACTAACCACTCGTTTATTAGTTCAAGTAAACTTTGAACCAATAAAGCCCAAATCAAGTACTTAATTCTTATCCATCGAATCTTTGAACCCGTTCAATCTAGATCAAGGAACTCCTCCTAATTTATCGTCAACAAAATGAATCTTATTGAAATCCCCCACCAACAACCAAGGCACTTGGTGACAACCAACAACAAAATTTAGATACTCCCACAACCTTGCCCTAAGAGCGATACAAGTGCTAGCATAAACAGCAGTAAATGCCATGGATTTTGACTGCCATCATTAAGAAATAATTTGAACGGTGGTGGCCATCACCTCTAACCTTAATCTTGCATCCTTCCAAAGCATCCACAGCCCTCCAGAGAACCTAACAGCGTCCACAATCTCAAAACATGGAAACCCAAGAGCGTCCCTTACACCATCGCCTTTGTTCTTCGCGGAAACCTAATCCTTCTTATTCCGGATAGCTCTTACCGGTATCAACATATTTTTCATTCAACATCTCATCAGCGATATTAACGACATTAAATCTTGATCCCTTCCCTGAAATCATCATATCACCTCCTTCATGGTTTGCTTTCCTGTGATGCGACTATTATCATCTTTCTCATTCAACATCTCATTCAACAACTTGATGATCATCGCATTACTCCAAGGATGACATAGCTTCTCCAAGGCCTTATCAGAGAACATGAATTTAGGCCCCTCTTCACCGTGAGACACAGTACAACACGCCGATTGGATTGCATAAGCTTATCTTTGAAACTAATTAAGCTTTGGGACCAAAGATGGCCCAACTACATTCTTCAGCAGGACCAATACTCCACTAGTAGCGAAGTCATAAATTCTATTATGGAGGGGGGGGGGGGGGGTCAATCTTAAATATCTATGAACTTAAAGTGAAAAAGGAAAAAAATTACGAAAGCTTATATAACAACACGTACAATTATAGTTTGAAAACCCGTTGTAGACAATTTTAAATGTATAATGTATGTTAATTTCTACATTTCTAATATGACATGATTAGACATAAATTGTATAATTAGGGTTAGTAGTTAGCTAATTAGTGATCGTTGACACAATCGAGAGAAAAAAATAGAAATAGTAAATTTCATTCATGAGTTATATCTCTGAGGATATAAGTCAAGAAATCAAAGTATCATACTTTTCAATGGACCAGAAGGGTCAAAACCTTAAACGTTTTGATAAAAAAATTAAAAATTAAAAAATAAAAAACAAATAGAAACAATCAAATAACAAAAACTTGGAAGTGAGAAGGTTCTGAGCCTTCATTGGCTCGACCAGTGATTCCCACCAATACGCCTATCCGCACAGGCATCAGACGCATTAGATTCAAACTGAACAGGAAGAAAACTAGGCTCTCCACTCATCGCCGTCGGCCTTGCCGCCGCGGATCAACCAGGTTCCACAGCCGACGCCATCACAGCTTAATAACTAAAATCTCCTTTTTGCTATTTCGTTAACAAGACTGGTTTATAAAGGTTTCTATTCTTCTCGAATCATTCATTGAAGTTTTTTAACAAAGTACCAACAACTTCTACAATACACGAGTTTTAACAAGACAAGAAGTAATCAGTTGAAAATACAAAACTACAGCGAATATAAACTACACAAGCATTACGCTTCCGTTCCAATTGCTAAAATCATTATTTAGCATTAGAATTTTCAAATCATTTCAGAGAATACCAAAGGCCATATATAACATTCACCAAAAGAAAAAGAAACTAAAATAATACTCAAAATACATGATGTTTTGAACCATATCAAAATTTGGGTAGTGAACATCCTTATGGGAAGAGCCATGTGAGAATTTGGAGTTTGGTGGCAAAAAATGGATGAAAAGTTCGAAAGTCACATTCACATCAACTTGACTCAGTGATCTCCCACCACCACCACCACCACCAGCAGCACCACGTGAGCTGGCAATTCCCTTTGCCTTTGGTCTTGTGAATGTAGGGTACCCGTCTAGATCTATCGATCTATCCCTGGCCAACCTTCACTTATAGGAGAGACCAAAGAAAGGGGCACCTGGTTTGACTTAAATACAATTTACTTGCGCAGACAATATAATTGACCATTAGTCACTAGCTATCTTTATGCAATTTGTCCACCACAAGAAATCGGCCTTTAAGGTGGGTTTTCCGATCGAATGGTGATTTCTAACAAGACATGCTTCACTCATTTCTCACTTCGTTTGACAAAATTTGAAAGTAAATTGGAAAATATTATCCGAGACAATCAGGCCGTTCAGCCGGGCAGATGGGGGATGTTTTGTGCCTATAGTGGACAATCACATGGTCAGGTCGTTCATATTTTTTGATCTCTCAGGAAACCGGGGTAGATTTATGACAACTTAATTGGCAGTGGTTGGCCGTGTTAATGAGATAAACTAAGCACCAATGAAATATCACCGTTGTATGAAAGTTTAACACACAAAAATAGTACTTGACTTGAGATATAACTGCAGTGATATCTCCATGTTGGCAGCCATAATTGCAGGTCACTTAATTCGAAAGACAAAAAAAATAAGTTACACGTAATGGATGCGTTACATGCAAGTTTCTCTCCCATGCAAGAAGAAACCGCATTTGTGGAGTTGTGGCCTAAGTTTCATGGTATTTCCATTTTGATGAAATTTGTTTTATAGTTTGGCTATATATAATCTGAGCTGCTTCGAGGAAGGTCAGATTCCTGGCTCCCAGCACAATTTTTCTCCAAAACGTCACGACAGCACCGCCACAAACACTTCAAATCAAAATCCAAGGAACCATATAAAAGTGGCAACGACTCCAGGGAATCATTGAGTTATATGACCAAAAAGAACAAAGCAACTTATTCTCTTATATAATGTTAAAAAATATACAACAAAAATAAACAATAACTATATTCTTACAGTTACCAAGGGTAAAAAGAGCATTTATCCACTAATGCATGGTTTGGGCCAAGAATTACCGCTTGAGTGTAATTTAGAGTGATAGATCGGCCAAGAATGCCACCCCGGTGGACGGCAACCATGACGACCCGTATATAAACTGTCGCACGGTGAACCTAGCCGCCTCCACCTGGGATGTAATGACCCGATACCCCGGCCAAGTTACCCGTTTGCCTATCGCTCCGCCGGGGCCATAGTTCATGTATTCACCATAATATAGCGTATCGAGAGCAAAAGTGGCATTCCACTCAAGCCATCCATGTGGATGTACGTGATCACCAATGAACGATAACATGTACACTGCCCTAGAGTACAGCTTCCACGGACGGCCTAGATACGTTGAGAAGTTACCCTTTGATCCCTCGAGCTCTGGAGTGGCGAGAATCCGGCAAGCATGGATTGAAATGCCCGTGTTCTGATTCGGGTCCTTTCGATTTTGGGCAGTGATTGTGTTTTTTTGGAAGGCCATGGGCTTGCGAGCGTAGATGCTACAGTTTTGGAACACTACGGCCGCATTGCCAAAAATGAAGTCTACCGTACCGTAAATGTCCGTTTCACGGATGAATTGACGATTCGAGTGCACGTAAAATGTGTCTTGGTATCCGATAATGTTGCAAAGGTAGACCACGGCGTGGTCCGCCCCAATTCGAAGGGCAACGGCTTGGTGCTTGGCCGGTCCGGCGTAGTTCTCGAACGTTATGTCACGTGCAATAAAACCAGCTCCGGTAGCAGCTGTGGACCAAAAAGAAATAAATTCAATAAACCATATTTCTGTATTCACCTATAAAATATGGCTATGAAATATGGCCATTGACAAGTCACCTACCTCCAATAATGTGATTTGTCTTGCTTTCAACTATTGTGGGTTTGAAATGACACAAAGACTACTAATCAGTTTCTTTATATGATGCTAACCCTAAATTCCCAAATTAGTAAGCTTACAAAGCCTCCAATGGAATAATTTAGATGCCACCTATTTGCAGTAAAAAGTGGAAGAAAACGGCTAACATCTTAAACAAGAGAGAAACTTTCATGCAACGTGACTTTTTATTATGCGAAACGGGTGTGCTATTCACACACTTCTTTTTACTTCTCACACATTCTTTATTAATTTCTGTCATTTGATCTTCTTTAAATCATTCGATCCGACGGTTGCAAATTAAAAAGGTATGTATGAAGTAAAAAGAGATGTGTGAGTAGCACACTCCTATGCGAAATTATAAGCTAGTGACCGGTTTGCCCACCCATATTTAAAGCTCATCTTCGATTGTTATTGATTTATTCAATCTAAAGACCAAAAACAAAACTAAAAGAGTACGAAGCGAGTGAGTGAAAACCACTTCCCAACTTTCTAAAGTAGGTAGGCTTCCCTTGTTGGGAGATGGGGTTGGAAAGGTAATTTGAGGCTATGAGATCAGACAAGCATCACCACGTGCAAGTAGTAACGCATGTCATGCATGGTAATGAGTGATGTGGCCCACATGTTTACGGTGACCACAGAGAAAGAGGACGGTGATTCAAAATTACAACGTGAAAGACGACGGTATTTGACGGAACTTACCGAAGGATGCAGTGTGGAATGTGGTCAGGTTCTGAGAGACGCTTTTCCCGCCGGTGATTACTGTTTTGCCCTTCCCGTCTCCGACGAACATCAAGTTGGTCTTCTTCCTCCCCACCTTCAAATTCTTCTCTTCGTATCTAAAATATAAACAAGTAATCATCCTTAATAGTTTACCGAAAGCCGAAAAATGAAATCCAACTTACGACAAAAACTTGATAATGTTGTGGGTTAAATTATTAAGTGTCAAGGAAGGAAGATCCATGAGGATTAAACTCGCATCATAGTACATATGCGTTATTATTTTTCGTCCCTACAGTAAAGTGTTGTTTGCGACAAAAATTTACTTATATAAAAAATGTCACATTTCAGTAGCACAAGTCATTTACAAGATCATATATAACAATAGTTAACTTGAAATATTGTCATCATAACATTCAAATGCAGGAAAATTCCACTCGAAATTCATATGCATACATACATTTTGAACTATCAATGGGGTTCTCTCCGGATGCTCTGGATCCTTCAATTATGGAGTTGATGAGAGAGAGATGGAGAAGAGGGAAAAAGATGAACATAAAAATATGAATAGAAAAAGAAATGAACAGAAGATGAACTGAAGAAGATGAAAGAAGTTGAACAGAAGAGTGAGGGTGAAAATAAAGGATCAGGATGGAAGGGATCGAAGAGGAATCGTTGAACTACGAAGTGCATGACAGCAGAGAGTAAAATTGATGACCACACAAGTCAAGTAGGTGTCACATTACATGCAAAAATCCAACGTGCACCGTACAGTTACTATATGGATATGTGTCATGACTTGCGACCAATCTCCACCGACAACCACCCCACACACAACATAACGAAGATAAAATAAAAAATTCAAATTCCATGGATGGGCACCATATTAATTAAAAACATGACATCACTTACCAATTTCAAAGAAAACAAGGGGTATTTTCGTAAACGTGATTAGTAGAGGAGGAGGAGGGGGAGGGCGTGGTAGAAGGATTAATAAGTTCTCTCACATGATTATGGTTGTGTATTGTCAGAGGGAGCTCGCTCAAGTCAATGCTCCAATCGATACAGACAAGGAATTAACACAAAGTTTTCTCCAAAAAAAAAAAAAAAAAAGGAATTAACACAAAGTTTGGAGAAAAATCTTTTGGAGAAAAATCTTTTCACCGACATAATGTTAATCTAAAGCAACTACATAACATCGGATGCCAAAAAGTAATTAAACGAAAAGGGGAAAAAGTAATGTTTAGATGAAATCTTTTTCTAAAAGAGCTTTTACATTATATAAATAATGTTATTTAGACAAATAAAATTAGGTATATTAGCGCACGAATCACGACTACCGAATTTAAATACAATGTTATGGTCCACCTTATAATTCCCCTAAAAGAAAATTCAACATCAATAGCGAGTATGAGCAGTGGTGTGTCTAAATAATTGAACGAAAAGAAAGAAAAAAGTTGGAGGGAATAAAAGTGCCAAAGTGAACAACTTTATGGAGTGAGTTCTAGTTACCTTCCTGCCCTGACGTAAATAATTGTCCGACGAGAACTATACTCCGGCGCCTTTTTGATCGCTTCGGCGATCGTCTTGTACGTCCCATTGCCGTCTTTTGACACGATAATATCCGCCTGTATCTGCGATACCGGCACCGACAGCAGCCTCCTCTCCCTCCTTCCTAACCACCTCGGAAAATCTCGCGAGACGTCAGCATTATCCCCCATTATATCACGCTCCATTTCTGAATTCCCCAACAACCTCCTCCGCTTGTTCTGTATCGGCACCCCGGAGAAATCGTCGCCCGCGACCGCCGAGTAAATCGCGAGGCAGTTGCTCACCAGTTCTGACAAGTCCTTGAGCCGCTGGTCCATCTCGTTCTTGACGTCGCCGCCCTTGATTTGCGCAAAACCCTCCCCGCACGTGTCCTGGTTCGTGAGCGCCCCGCTCAGCCACGTCCGGACATCTTGTGTGGACGAGGACCCCACGCCGGGGGCGACGGAGGTGAGGGCCCGGGAGAGGGCGTCTACGGAGTCGTCGAGGAGCTCGAGGCAGTCGTCATAGGCGGAGCGGGAGTGGGGGTCCATCTGGCGGTAGGAGAGGGAGGAGGATAGGTAGAGCGCCTTGCTGAGTCGGTGCAGAGTCATGTTGAAGGAAATGTGGACGAGGTCCAGCTCCGACGCGGCGTTGGAGCCGGGGAAGTCGAGGAGGGAGTCGACGCAGAGGGAGGGGAAGCGCGTCTTTGCGCATGCGTTTGAGATGGCCTGCGTCGGCTTGCGGTGGAGGGCGGAGGAGACGGCGGAGTTTGAGGCTTTGGATTTTCCGACGATGAGTACCACGGCCGAGACGGCGGAGGCTAGGATGAGTGCCACGGCGAGGAGGAACATTAGGATGAGCTTGTTCTTGCGGCTGCGGCCGTTGGAGCAGGAGGATGACGTGGCAGTTTGTGGGAGTGATGGGTTTTCAGCCCCGTAGAGACTTGGGGAGCCTCCAGGGTCCGACGGCTGGAGTCTGCCGTAGCCCATTTCTCTTTAGGTGCAGAACTGAGAATGGAAAGTTTACGACGTTGTTAGGACTGATATAGTGAAATTACTAAAATCGACAGCAGCAGCTCGCTCTGCTGCAGCTAAAAGACTGAGGGAGGGAATGAAAGAAGATCGAAGAAGTGCGGGGTTTTAATATAGAGTGGGGGCTGTATATTTATATGATTGGGAAATTAACTCATTTTTAAATTAGGTTTAAAATCTAAACAATATGAACAAAGTGGGGACGTGGGAGAATAAAAGAGGTTGTTGTGAGGTCGATGTCGAAGAGGAGATGAGCTGGCTGCAACTTTCAATAACTTAAACACAAAACGTTGCAGTAATATTGTACTCGTGATATGTAAATTCTTCTTTGCATAATTTATAGAGATACCCAAAACCCAAAAGAGGTTTTTCAGTCTTCTTTCTTTCTATCTTCCTTCTTCTCTGTTTTTAAATTTTTACTTAATTTTGGTTTTAGTTGATTAATTTATTTGAATATTGCTTTGAACAAGTGGAGTAGCTAGGAGGGTCAAAATCGTTATCAAAGTTGAGTGCTGTACACAGTGCATGCATTTGCATGATTCTCTTAGCTCTTAAGCTAAACTGTATGCTAAGACTAGTGCTTCTTGCTCTTTTTCCTTTATGCTATGTACCTAGAGAATCCAGTTTCAACAAGAAATATCACTTTTTTAAGGCTTCTTGCTATCGAAGTAAATTTTTCACTCCAAACTTTTAGAGTAGATTAATGTTTAGACTAAATATGAATTAAGGATTGAAGCATCTGATCGAGCTCCGGAGATGAATACTAAAAGAACCTATCTGATGCATCATCGATCTCAAACAGCTCAATCAAGCGGGTATGCATAAGTTATATGATGAAATTAAACGGCTGGATGCGCATTAGTTATTATAATGTATATTTGTATTAATTAGGGGTTTAAGCATTGTTGAACTTTTAAGTTTTAATCCATTTGAACAAAGAATCACCTTTCCAGGCTTTTGGCTAGCTGTATAAAGGTTTCAACTTCCCTTGGTTTAATTAACTACAAGCTCATTTTTATATAGTAATTAAACTTTTGTCTTTGTATATTAGAAATTTCAGAAGGGGCTAGGTAGTTTTGTTAAACAATATATATATTGAAAGAATCAGACTCAGTCAAAAGTTCCCCACAGTTTAACATATATAATAATACTTTGTCCATATATCCGAAACATGCATGCGCCCCTTGTTTTCAAATGAAAACTGGTATAGTGATATAACTTCGGGGTTTTTTGAAATGGGTCTAAAGTAACTAAAAATTGGACTTATTTTAAAAGTCAAAAATCACTAAAAATTAGACCTATTTCAAAAGGTAGTCTATAAAATTAGACATATTTCAAATTTTCCCTATAACTTCTTATGAAACTAATTTAATTATTTAGACTTGTAATAATATTCGGAAGGACCTAATTTCAAAAAGTAATATATGCGGAAAAGTCAAATTAAAAACAAAAAGAGGAAGTCTTGAGCTATAGATTTAGGTCAATCTAGCGAAACTCGTTGGCAATATTTTTAAAACGACTAAAATTTTTTTTGATGAAATTTTTTTATAACTGATTTTTAATAAATATGTAAGTAAATTTTGAAAAAAAACATTTGAAGTATTTTTTTACAAGAAGTACATAACTGGTAATTCTTCCAAAAAACATTTCAAATGCTTTTGAACCCAAAAACAATTTCAATCATTTAAATCTAAAATAGAATTTTCCGAATGATTGATTCATGACATAGCTGTTTGTAGATTTTGCCAAAATATGTATGGTATCTAATGTATATAGTGACATGTATAGATATACCGATGTGATGCTGGCTTCCACATCAAATTGATCTTCTACTTGTAATATTGTATTAATTGATAACAATATGAATAGGACTAATACGCACCTTTTAAGGGTTTGATAACCAAAAAGTGAGACGAAACGCGATGATGATGGTAACAAATTAAACCTCTTCATCTCCACGACGTACGTTCTCTTACAGTGAGCAGAACAATATGCATCCAGAGAGTCCACGAATTGACCACCGACTACTGATGACCACCGACTCTACTGATGACGATAACTGGTGTTTAGCCGTTCAGGGTTTTTTCGTTTGGTCCGATTTACACAGGGGCTGCCTCCTAATTACCAATACATTACAGAACCATATTCATATGATGGCGGATAAGTAAAATCATTTTTTTACACAATTTTTTACATATATTTTTGTGGAAATCACTTCATAATATATTTAACGATCGTAGCGTTTATCTTTTAGATCTTTCCTCAAAGATTATGCTTAAAAAAAAAAAAAAAAAAAAACCCAAATATGCAATTATATGATTGTTGGATTAAGGGTTTAGGGTTTTTTTTAGAACCATATTCGTCAATTTTCTTCACTACAAATAAATGTCTTAACGGTTTTGGATTTGTCTAATTTTTTGGAAAAATTATCTACGGGTGATAACCTAAAAGATAGACGGTTTAAATTCTTGAAACACGTTAGGAAGTGGGCTCTCAAAAAGCGTGTGTCAAAAGTTATGTTTTTTAGCCAAAATGGTCCCTAAGATTTTCATAACTCATCATTTTGGTCCCTCAGATTTGAAATCAATAAAAGTGGTCCCTGAGATTGTCCACCATCAATCATTTTGGTCATTCTATGAAATATTATGTTAAATAAAGATCAAAATGATAAAAATACCCTTAGTTCAATAAATAATAGGCCAAAATAATTTGACAAAAATTGAGGATATTTTTGTCATTTTATTCTTATTTAATGGAGATTTTTCACGAAATGACCAAATGGACAATCTCAGGGACTAAAGTGAGGAGTTATGCAAATCTCAAAGATTAAAGTGATAAGTTATGCAAATGTCATTAAATATTTTAGCTAAAAAGTCCAAAAGTTATGTAAAAAAAGTAGTGTCGTATATGTGTGTGTGTGTGTGTGTGTGTGTGTACAAATATAATGATAATATATAAGGGTTTTTGGTACAAATTAAATGCATTTACAGTTGTCGACCCTGCTAAGATTTAAGTCGTAATATCCACCCCTATATCTGTCACATTTAGTATGAAAACGAACTATGATCAGTTTTATAATTATAACTTAACCAAAATAGGTCAAAGCTAAGATTGCTTTCATAAATTAATTTCAATTAAGATGTTATATTAATTAGATTTTCTCTTGCTTTCATAAATTAAATTAAATTAAGATGTTATAAATTTAATTATATTTTCTCATTCAAATTTCAATGCCCAACTCCATGATGTAGGCCTTTATATATACCCACTTTTGTCAAAGCAACTCAATAATAAACCAAATAATAACAAAATGGATTGTAGATGTGGGGAGCTTGTGCCAAGATGTGCAGTGACAGGGAAAAGAAGAAAAGGGACTCAAAAGGTGCATGATTGATTACCCGATGAGGAAGGCAAACCATTTGGTGGTGAAGAAAAAAATTGGGAAAAAGCAATCTTTCACGATTTTGGAGAGTCCCGTGACATTAATTTATATATTTAATAAATAAAACTTTAGTAAAATTGTAATTCAAATCCTAATAACTAAGAAAGTGCAGCACTAAAAATCTAGTAAGAAAGGGTTATTATAATAGGAAAAAGAGAAAAGAAAATATGAATTTTTTATAATTATTTTCTGGGCTTAGCGTTCAATTAAAATATGGAGCAAATTAACTTGTTTATAGTCATACGACCTCACGGACTCACGGGCACGGACACCGAAACCTTCTGTGTGCTAATGATAGCATGTCTTGTTTTGTATGATTATGTTTTAGCATGTTACGCCCCATATCAATATATTCATGTCAGAAAAATCGATCTCTTCCAACGAATTAGTGTCATCATAAACATGGGTCCTACTAAAATTCACCAATAGTGTTCATCTCAAAATTGTATAGTATATACTATGCTCTGAAGCATAAAGTTTCCAGTAAGATTCACCGACAATGTTTATCTCAAAATTGTATTTAATTTACAGTATGCTTACGAAGAATATTATATTGAGTATTATCAATGAATAATTATTTTGATTTAAATACGTCCTCTACGTAATTAGTTGTATATGCAACTGAAAAAAAAATGATTTGGTTGCCTACGAAATCCAGTAGGGATCCGTAGAAAGAGAAAGATTTGACCAGGTTGATAAAATTTGAGGAGAGTGGTCACACTCACACCAAGCGAAGCTTACAAAGCAAGAGATTGAAAGCCATGCTGCCATGCTGCCATGCAACTGCATGTGCCTAATTATATGAAGGTAGGGAACACAGGGCCTCTTGCTGGCTTCGTAATCACATGGTTTGTTTAATTTTTGTTTCTAATTAACGTATCTCTACATATACATTGATTTATCATTATTTGGAGCCATGCACTGATTAATGCTACAGCTCATCTAAGCAATGCTTGACAAAACTATTCATCAATTATGTTTTCTCAAAATAATTTACTCGCAATATATATGAGGGCTCAAACGCTAACCAGTTAGTAACTTAATACAGATTTAACTACTCATATGAGTTCACTTCACAAAATAGTCTCATAATCTGAATCGCTCATTTTTTTATTATTGTTGTGAGTATTTCATTATTTGTCAACAACACTGTATTTGTTTATTTATCATGTTACGGTTAAATAACTTGTTAACGTCGGAAGCTTTTGTATGTATACATCAATGAGTGTTTCATATATAGTTAGGCTTTCTTTAAAGAGCATCGACATGGACATGGTGGAGTTATCCACATGCTTCCCTAACTAAAACAGCGCAGTATGATCCATTGTAGACAATCAATCATACATGCATCATTTTTTAAATTGTATTAAATTGTATACACCATTTATATTTAAATTCGACACACAAACACATATATAAGAGGGACGTCATAATCATATTCATTAAACCAAACTAAGATTTCTAAAAGCAACAGGAGTTAATTAAAACGACATGACTTTCCCCTACATGTAGAGCC